TGTGGTACATTCTATTAAACACAGGTGGAAGTATTACTACATCCATCACTTTGGCAATGATTATTCTAAAATTCACAAAGTGGGAATACTCCATCTGTAAAAGATCTGTTGATATTTTAAGTCATTTGTACTATGTGCTAACTATGAACTGGTCTATTAAGCGTTCTTATCTTACCTATTTGAATGAAAGTAGAGGTAGTATGTTGGCAATCAAGGTAGTCCATGCATTTAAAAGCTACATATGATATCCTAAGTGCTGTTACTTCAAAATGTAGATACCATTATATATTTTCAACATCAAGACCAAAAATAATGATAATAATGATAATAATGATTATAATGATAATGATGACGATAATAATAATTATAGTTAAAGTGATGATGATAATAATTATAATAATGATAATGATAATGATTATTATAACAATAATAATAATAATAATGATAAATAGTATATAATAATAATAATAATAACTAGAAATTTTATTCGTCATGAGGACGAATTAGGTGGTCTGTCTTCAATTCTTATGACAGATTTGAATATTTACTATATAGAGAAAGGGAGAAGTTATATAGACATGTAAACAATGATGATCATGATAGTAATGGGGATGATGATGATGATAATGATAATGTTAGATGATGATAATAACGATAATGTTAATGATGATGATAATGATGATCTTGATCATGAAGATGATCATGATGACGATGAGGATGATGATCCTGACATCTGATTGAAAAAATGAGGGGACATTTAGATAGCATATAGTCTCAGCTACAACAAACTCAAAAATCAACAAAAAACAAACAGAAATAGAATCCAGTTTTGAGAAAAAGTCATGTACCATGGAGAATACACGCAAAATGTGAAAAATTGACATGCCTCCTTTAATCGCAATAATACGCCATGATGCCTTTGTTAAAATGAAAAATCGTGGTGTGTGCATTTCTAGAGAATTGTCTCAGCTAGAATATATCAAAATTTGGAAAAGAAATAGAGTTCGGAGGCAAATATGATGACGTCATGAGTTAATTGAGGGTCGAATGAGACATGAAATCATATCTCCGATTCATACTCTATCAAAATATGAAGAAAAAAATTGGGGTCACCTTGCATCCTGAAGAACTACAATTGACTTTTTATAGGCATAATAAAGAATAAACTAGACATATAATACTTGTTTGGAACAAGTATAGGTGGGCTGGTCAACTTAAATTTGAGACAAAATAGAGCAAAAATAAGCGAGATACTGCTTAAAAATTCTTAAAAAACAATATCATGTAGTTTCATGACGTGAACGAAATTCACCTTCTATAGGGATAAGGCAAATTATGAAGGCCTTTTGACATGAGGCCTTTAATCGAGATTTTCACTATGATGACGTCATCAAAATGAAAAATGGTAATTTTAAAGCTTGTAGAGAATTGTCTTAGCTACAACATATCGAAATTTTGAAGAAAATTGATCAATATTTACAGAGATACAATCAATTTTCCATAAATATGCTGACGTCATAATATGCAAATTCGTATTTTGATTTCCAAGGCCATTGTGATGATGTCACGATACACTTAATGGCCAAATGAGACATGAAATCATATCTCCGACTCATACTCTATCTAAATATGAAAAAAAATTGAGGAACCCGGTGCATTCCAAAGAGCTATAATGGATTTTGTATAGGCATGTTTTTGCCCATATATGCTATGCATTATAAGAGCTCACGCGCACGGACATTTATCTTGAATGGACGCTCATCTTAAAATTAATGGTCATAAAGAGATGAACATAGTATCAAATTGTTTGGAAAAATATGGGAATTATCATGAAAGAAATTGACAAATTGACCGGACTGATATTGACCTTGATCATGATAAATATGAATGTGAAATTACTTTTAGTTATGAAGATATGATCATGAGTTGATTTTCAGAAAATTTCCCAAAATGGCGCCTAGATGACTTCATCAGTCAAGGTCAAGGTTGAAAAATTTGCTGTGTTTTGTGCATATGCCTATACATATGTGTGCCAAATTTCAAGGTATTTGATTGAGCCATTTTCAAATTATCTTGCACACAAAAAAGTGGGTCGAAATAAGAAAAAATAAACTAGATTTGTAATACTTGTTTGGAACAAGTATAGGTGGGCTGATCCAACAAAAAATTGAGACAAAATGGAGGGTACATTTGAGATAGCTTTTTGTCTCAGCTACAACATACTCGAAGTTCAGCGTAAATGAAGCTAAAACGACGTAGATATTGCTCGTGAAAGACGGGAATGTAGAATCAAGTTTTGAGAAAACGTCATGTCCCTTAGAGAATACACGCAAAATATGAAAAATTGACATGCCTCCTTTAATCGCAAAAATACGCCATGATTCCTTCGTCAAAATGATTTTTTTTAAAACTGCATTTGTTATGAATTGTCTCAGCTAGAACATATCGAAATTTGGAAGAAAAATTGATCAATGTTTTTAGAGATGCAATCAATTTTCAAAAAATATGTTGACATCATAATATGCAAATTGGAATTTTGAGTTCGGAGGCCATTATGATGACGTCGTGAGTTAATTGAGGGTCAAATGAGACATGAAACAATATCTCCGATTCATACTCTATTAAAATATGAACAAAAAATTGCGGTCACTTTGCATCCTAAAGAGCTACAATGGATTTTGTATAGGCATGTTTTTGCCCATATATGCTATGTATTACAAGAGCTCGCGCGCACGGAAATTTATTTTAAAAGGTCGGTCATTCCGTTATTAATAGTCATAAAGAGACAAACAGGGTATCAATTTGTTTTTAAAAATATCTGGAATATCATGAAAGCAAAAAAAATGGCGATTCTATGCTGTGTAATAGTTTTACGCGCGAAAACGCGCGCACATGCGTGTGTGCGCGATTTTTTATAAATGCTTAGAATGGCCTAAAACGTATGCAAAATGATTTTGAGACGATTTTGAGCATTTTCAAATTTTGCGTGCGCATTTACGCGCGGACGTACGCGCACGCGCGCGTTCTTTGACCTGAAATTGACCGGACGGATATTGTCCTTGATCATGATAAATATGAATGAGAAATAGCTTTTGGTTATGAAGATATGATCATGAGTTGATTTTTGTAAAACGTATCACCTAATAACATAGTAAGCGTTATAACATGTTTCAATTAAAATGTATATCTCGCCATTTATCAAGAAATAAAACAAATTTGTCTCAATTTTGAAAGATTATTCGTTCAAGGTCATAATAATATTACGACTGTTTCTTAAATAATTCGAAATATAATACACTATTTTTACATTTTGTAGAGAATATATAGTATTGTAAATAATGTAATGTAATCATGGTCAATATAACGTTATTATTTGAAGTGCTTTCTTGAAATTGTAATGTAAATTGGACATTCCCAGAACAAATTTGCAATTGATTCAACACTATCAAAAAAATGTAATATACCTACCAATTTCAAATATTTATTTACCCTAAGAACATTATGTAATTTTTAAACTGAAAATAACGCAATTTTTCTGAAAGTACATATTTAAAGGGAATAACGTACAATTTTTTCCACTCCAATATCGGTTCCAATAAAGTTGAGTTCCACTTTCTTTGTGAAATTGGAACTTGAATTATTTTATGAATGCATAATTTATGAATTAATCTACATATTTTAGTTTTCTTTTTCAACGTACCAATTAAATTTTAATGCTGGTTCATATTCGAAATGGGAGCATTTGTAATAATATATTTCGTTTGAAAGGAAATGACGGATAAAACAGAATAAAACTCCATGAAATTACATCAAATATGGTATGTTTGCACAGATTCATCATAACTATAAAAAAAAGACCTTATTGTAATAATTGATAAATTTGTATTACGCCATTATTTATCCAATCAGACTTTAAAAAAACGTTCCCATTTATTATGATACATAAGTTATTCCAAATAATTTGATTATGAATAAAATGATCACTTGGGTTCTCAAGAAAAGTAATATCACTCCAGGCTACTAAAATTTCTTTTATAAAGGAGTTACCAATTTTCATCAATTGCACTTTACTTTTTAAACTACAAGTTCAAAATAAATCATAACCTAATTTCATCATATCAAATTTTAAAAAACATGTTCAGTTGCCTTTATTTTCTGTATTTAACAATCTCATCACCCATGCGACCATGAGTCCCATAATAGTTGACGGTAAATGTAACATTTTCAAAACCCCTTCATTGTAATCTGCTATAATTGTTTTCCGATTTATCTTGTCTGGTTAATTCACGATTCCAAATAAAAGAGTATATAATAGATTCAACTTCATAAATTAATAAATTCATTGGGTTTTGGTAATACTAATAAAATTAAAATAAGTTGGGAAATGGCAATTTTTTTTACAGTAATAATTTTACCCAAAGGTTTTAAGTCTCTCATCGACCATATTCCCAAGATTCGTTTTAAAGTTTGTAATTTGGCACAACATTTAATTTGTATAAATCATTCAAGTTCTTTGAAAAACGCACACCTAATAATATAAAATGGACCTTTAGAATATTTCAATTCTCTAAAATTTACGTCTGGGGGTTGACTTTGTAATAACCAAGAGCTATAATTTCTGATTCTATAATCATCAAACAGTTGCCTGTCTATATTTTCTTAACTTTACGTTCCATGTTTCTTTTATTTTGCCACTCTAGCCCACCTGCTATTTAAGGAATTTTTTTTAGTGTTGAACCTAAAAGTTAAACGTTTTTCATTCTTTTAGAGATAAGGCTAACGACACCATTCACTTTTACTACGCAAGCTTCTCCGCAAAGCACAGAATCACAAACAGGACCTGGTATGGTATCAAGATATTATTCTGTTTTAATAACGACTGCAAAGACTTTCTAAACGGCTTACTTCGAATCATAGGGTCTTTATCTATTATTTAACCATTATCTGTGATGCTACCTTGGTATTTCTAATTTATGTCATTCTTTTCACTACCATTCTAGTTCCCACAACAACCTCTTCACCTACTGTTTCTTCTCCACCAAAATCAACTTCTGCTGGAGGTCCTTCAATTTCCATAGTGGTAGGAAGCGCTGTTGGTGCTATTCTTGTGATTGTTGTCGTTATAGTTCTCATCATCATCCTTTACAAGCGAAGAAGGTTAGAGAGTTACCTTGTTCTTAACCCGTCTTTCTCATCAGTCGATTCTCATCGTATTCTGCCACGCAAGGGGCTAAAACCGTATGGTTATGAAAATACAAGCTGAATTAAGATTGTACTTCATTCCCCCAAAATATTAAATTATTTAATTCCTTTTGTTGTAATGTTGTCCAAAGTATTCCAAAGCATAACGCTTTTCAAATGTAATGGCAACCTGTTAAAAATACTAATTATGTAAATTACATGTATTTCAAAAGTACCACACTAATTCTTACATCTCATGTTGACGTGTTTCTATATACCTATTTATCAGGAGTTGATGACTTTCAAATCATGTATTTCATTAAAGTAGATACTCATTGATTTTAAAAACTAACTTTATTTTCATTATTGCAAAGTTGAAATTTTGATTCGACAAGGTTATCAAAATTCAATGCTTAGAAACATTTGAAGTAATGATTATTATATATAACAAAACGCTTAAATACAGCCCCGACATAGCACCTGAAGAGCTCTCCGAATGCTGCTGAGATGTGTGAGATCACAGGATGGACATGATTTGCACAAGCAGACGATGTCCCATGACATCTCACATATTTTCAGTGCCTGTTTTTTCATCTTCTTTGAGTTCTTTCTCTTAATACTTCACTACCGTCAAGCTAAATGAATAATCTATTGCCTCACTCTAAACCCCGCGCATAGTTTTATTTTGATGGCAAATGCAGCGATACAAAAATAAAGGAATCTGTCGCTTGTAAACAAAATAAGACGCCATTGTATATTCAGCTGCACACACCGCAGTATGTTCTGCGTTTCAAGAGGGAACAATTGCCGTCCTTAATATCATTCTGGGGGTTTTTCAATTTGAAAGTCTGTTTTTTTTTAAATTGTTAATTAACCCCTATCCTGTGTATTTACAAACATATAACTAAACATATTTTAGTTATCAGAATCGGTTTTATATCCCCTTTTGAATGGTTTGAAATGCCATCACATTTATATACGGTACACTAAACTCATTATAATTTGAGAAATAATGGCTTTGCAATTATGTTCATTCTTTCTGCTTGGGCAGTAAAGGTCCATTATGTGACTTCATTAAAATATCGTTATTTTTCTGGCGAATCTCTTGTATATCCCAAATGCTATGGAGGTCTTTGTATTTGTATTTTTATAAATCACCCGATATGTAGTTGACCTAAAACTTGTACGATGGCCATCTGTTAGCTTACCAGTTTATAGTGATACATTAGTTGACATATTTGTGATTTTCTTTGAATTTCCACTTTGATGCAATTAATATATGCTTTTATATTGTTATTTTTCAGCAATGAATCAGCGACTTCTAAGTCTGAAGGGAGGGAGTCCGAATCGTCTCCGCAGTATGAGAACCCTGTATTTGATCAGTCACAGACAGACCCCCATACCTACCAAGACTTGAATACTATCACCCATACCTACCAAGATTGTAATAACGATGATCAGAGCTACGATGATACTGTCGACCCTCATACCTACCATAAACCTGATCAAGAAGATAACTACGAAGAAGTGAATGATGCCAAAGAGAAAAATTATGTCAACGATACTATGATAAAACAAAATAAAGAATTATTGGGCTGATTAAGAATTGAATACATGAGAAGAGGATAGATCCAAGTCCATCATAATAATTTGGTTTAAAAAAAAGGTTTTTATAATTTTGAAAGGGCAAAATATTTCCAGTCTTTATTCATTACATAATATATGTCCGTGTATCAATTATTCCGTGAAGATGAAAGCATGTTTTACAAATTATAATAAAATATTAACATTTATCTTAAAAACTGGAGAGAAAAAAATCTATGCTGATGGACTTGGGCGCTTCCTCTCGTATATCCAAATAGAATACAAATATCCTCTTCATTGAAATTTGTTTTCTATTGTTATTTTCTGAATAATGTGATTGATGTATAAGGACGAAAAGTTATCAAAATATATCATGGCTTATTTTCATCCTGTGCTCCTTCTTCGTTTTCACAATGTCTACTCGAGTTATTCCCAAATACCTTGATATCAACGATCAGTAGAAAGATTCCCTTTGAAATACCATGGTTAGCAGAAGTCTGATAAATTCGGGTAAATAAAGTTGAAGACCTTAGGTCCCACCAAAACGTGAAAATCAGGGTATGAGACTAATTCTTTAAATGGATTCATTATACTGATCTTCTGTCATTGAAGCACTGTCAGTTTCTGAATAATTTGATTGATGTATTTTTTTAAAAAAAACTCTTACATCACGGAGCTACAAATAATTTTTTTTTCTTTTTTCGAATATTATATTTTTTTCTTCTGCAGAGGTGTCTGATGATAACGATTTAGTAATATAAGATATGTTCTGAATGATTCGATGCAAGCTTAAAAACAAAGGAAAATTTAATGAGTCATGTATATACACATATGCCATAAAGCGTGAAAGCATATTCCATCATGTTAATCGTGTTTTGAAATATTGGTAAGAAAACTATTATAAAATTATTCTACTGTACTTTTTGTCTGTGTTGATTGCTAGTGCCATTCCCTGTTATTGCTGGTTGAAACCATTTTTCCTACTACTACTACTACTACTACTACTACTACTACTACTATTGCTACTACCAGGGGCAGATCTACGGGGAGGGGTTTAGGGGGTTTAACCCCCCCCCCCCCCTTGGGCTGCCAAGTGAAAATGTGATGGGCACTAACACAGTGAAATTGTGTTAGTAGATGCCAGGAAAACATCATAATACGGGGTTTAAAAATAGCAACAACAACAAAAAATCGCCTCGACGCTATGCGGCTCGTGTGGACGATATTGTTTTAACCCCCCCCCCCCCCTTAGCAAAAAGCTAAATCCACCCCTGACTACTACTACTACTACTTATACTAAGCAGTGGAATTCAAGTTTATTAATAAGTTGTTATGATGTAAACACTGAATTGTAAATATGAAAATGTAAAAGACATAGACTATGCACAATAAAACCAATGTGAAAGCATTGTGTTATGTAAGGGTGGATGTTTAGGTAAAAATGTAAATACATGTAGTAGAATCAAAAGTCAATAAGTAGAATTAGAAAATGCAATCTAAGTCAACATTAGTATATAACCATATGAGCAGGGGATGCTTGAGCACATAATATATGTGAATAGTGATGACAAGAATTATAGAACACAAGGAATATAAACAATAAAAATACAAAAAGAAAAAAAACGACTTATTTTGGTTTTTGTGTAAACTCGTAAATTTGCTCTTTGAACGTTCTTTTAACCAAAATAATTTGTGTGATTGTTTAAACAGTTTAGAATTAGGCAGACAGCGCTAACCAACAGTATCGAGCCAGATTACTGTACGGTTAAATTAAGAACATTCTGACATGTTGCCTTTAATTGAAGTTTTCACCACGATGATGTCATCAAAATGAAAAACAATGAGCACTAATATTGTAGAGAATTGTCTCAGCTACAACATATCTAAGTTTGGAAGTAAATTAATCAATATTTACAGAGATACAATAAATTTTCCATACATATGATGACGTCATAATATGCAAATTGAAATTTTTAGTTCGGAGGCCATTATTATCACGTCATGAGTTAATTGAGGGTCAAATGAGACATGAAATCATATCTCCGACTCATAATCTATCCAAATATGAAGAAAAAAATTGGGGGGTATCTATCTATTCTGAATTTTGTATAGGCATGTTTTTGCACATGTATTGTGGATAAGGATAGCGCAGGTCCGCGCGTACGTTCAACTTTGACGGACGCTCATTGCGTTATTACTTGTCAGAAAAAAGTGAACAAGGTATCAAAATGCTTGAAAAAATGTGTCAAATACGGTGACAGAGCAAATTTGGCGATTCTATGTTAAAAAATGCCATTACGCGTGGGTACGCGCGGAAACGCGCGCGCATCAGTGCGTGCGCGCAAATTTTGAAAATGCTTAAAATGGCCTGAAACGTGTGCAAAAAACATTTGGGACGAATTGGGGCATTTTGGGGGCAATTTTGATGCGCGCGTGGATTTTGTTGACAATTTTTGTTGACCTTTGACCTGAAGTTGACGTATACCAAATATGGTTGATTTTTGATGACTCGTTATCGATATATGATAATGATCTGATTTTTACAAAATGGCGCCTGGATGACGTCACGATGACCCCATGACCTTGAGAAAGGTTTTAGGAACTTGATATAGGGCCTGATGACTGACAGAAATTTGAAGGAAATTGACTAGTCGATTTCGAGTAAACGTGTACACAAAAAAGTGTACGGAAGAAATAAAAATAAAAGAAATAAATAGAGAAAGAAAATTCTGACGAAATCAATAAGTGATCTGTCGTTGACAGACCACCTAATAAAGAAAGAAAATTCTAACGAAATCAATAGGTGATCTGTCGTTGAAAGACCACCTAATAAATAATAAATAAATAAAGAAAGAAAGAAAATTTTAACGAAATCAATAGGTGATCTGTCATCGACAGACCACCTCATAAAGAAAGAGGAACAGAGAGAGAGAGGGAGGGATGGGAAGGAATAGGCAGAGTGGAAATATTGGGGAGAAGGGGTTTGGGAAAGGCAAAATCAAAAGGTCATTAAGAAACTGAGATTCATAATAATGATGATAATAATAGTGAATATTATTATTATAGCACCAATGATAATGGTAATAATACTATTAATCTGGTTTATATGGAGCGTAATACATCGACAATGTCTCTAAGCGCTTTACAAGTATAGTTATAGAGAGCTGGGCAATCGCATATCAATAGAGAATGAAAAGGAGAGAAAGAGAGAAGGGGGAGAGATAAAGTGAGAGAGTGAGAAGGGACAGAAGGGTCGGGTGAAAAGTATTATTTCATTGGGAACACTGTGACAACGTAGATAAAAGTAAAGAGAACAATTCTGTGAAAATAAAGAACATGTGTGTGCTAAAGTTTATTACATTTTGCATTGTGAGAGAGTGTACTTTGATCTCGCTGATATTGTATCTCATCGATATATTATTTATCTTGGCTTATTGGTTAAATATATATAGAGAGTATAAAACTTGTGAAGTATCAACAGACATTACATGACAGAGACTCTCATAACTCAAAAACATCACGTATGGTTCTTCATTGAAATAGGGTGTCCCTAAAAAAAAGAAAAAGGAAATCGAGACCCAGATTTGTAGGTAAATATTTCAATAATTAAGTACTATTTCTTTGGTACATCATCATCATTGTAAAGCGCCTATTCCGTTGCTTATTATTATATCACCCATTACGATATAAGGTTTCATGTTTTGTTTTTGTTAAACTTCATTGATGTACATCAAGGATCTGTTTATAAACATATACATAATATAAATCAATTTACAATGCAATGTAACAAATCAATATTCTTTTTGGTAAACATACATATCATGTAAATCAATTTACAATGCTGTGTAGCGAAACATAAGGACAATGATATACAGCAGAAAAACTTTGTTTTATTCTTGTAATAACATGACACATAATGCATGAAGTAAATAAAATAATGTACCATAATACATCCGAAGATTTAGATATAAAAACCTAATATAGCAATTTTCTAAATAAATTATAACTCATGCTATACGAAATAGGTAAATGAGGTACTTGGAATGCAAAAGATATTCGTTTCGTCTAAAATTAATGACGTATTACTACTTGTACATATATGCGACCTACTATCAAATTAAACCAACAAAATGAGATTGTAATTTTTCGCCTTGTCGTTTAATACATTAGGTCGAATTCATATAATAAATATAGAGAAAATAAAAGGGTTGTATACTTATCTTTAATCAAATTGTATAATTTGTTTTCTTCTACTTTTGTGTTACATAGTATCCAAAAGTTACCCCTCACTGCAATTATGTTTTTGGTGAACGAAGAGAAAATATCTATTATATCTTTATTGTCTAATCTCCGATATACATGATTTTTTTCTTTACATTCCAAGACACTAAAATTTTCTCCCAAATTGCAATTAAAAAAAAAAAAAAAAAAATTCTCGTAAATCTTTATATTTATCACATTTCATAATTATATGGAATTCATCTCCTACTAGATTCATATTGTAGTCTTCACAGAATCGTAAATAGATTAGGGGCGTTTTTTCTGGTCTTTTATATCTTCCCATTTCTGTGTGCGCTCATTCGTAGTTTGGTCATTTAAATTTATATTTGGTAAATGAGATAAATACCTCTTTTGCATGATTGTACTTTTAAATTGTCTGAAGGTGCTGAATTTATTTCCTTTATGGGTATTCCTATCATTAAAAAAATCCAGTTTTAATTGTTCATAAATTCTTCTTTCCAAATTAAGCCTTATGACATAGCTTGACAGTTTCTTTTGGAGAAATTGGTATATTTTAAGGGTTCAGTACGGTCTCATTTCCATTATCATGAATATTCAGTGAACTAAAGATATCCCGGATTGACATCAACCCATTATTTTCTTCAAAGGATTTATAGACAAGGTCATTTTAATCCAAATTTCGTATTCGTTTCCAATATCTTTTTTAGCGTGTTTATTGCCTTCCAATTTTGGATGAAACTGCTAAATTGCTGTATCTGCGGTTTACCCCTATGATATTTTACAACACTGAATGTGTACCTTCTCAAAATCGATTTCATAATAAAGTCCTATTTTCCCTGTTTCTATTTGCATCAAAAAGGTGTAATAGGGTTTTAATACTGGGCGTATAAATACCGAAAGATTTATAAAGTTTAAATAATGCTGTCCCGGCCTTATCCGCTAAGTCCCTTGTCGCCGTTTTAAACGATCCATTATTACTAAAAAACAATGCCTGAATATTTCATTTCCTTTGCCGAGCTAAGTTTTACCCCGTTTATTTCAATTTCACTGTTATCAATAAACCTGCCCGACTTATTACATATCATTATTTTAGTTTTGAAGACATTAATATTAAACATCCAGGAGTTACAATATTGAGTAAATTTATCGGGATTTGACTTGATTTGATTTATTTTTCCACTCAAATATCCACAAATTAAAATGACATAAACATACAATATTACAATATATAATAGAACAAATGAATTATACAACAGTATTGTATTCAGTTGGAGGTCGAGGTGGCGCCCTCTTCAAAATATTGGTTAAGCATTTGCCCAGCAAGAGGGGATTTAGAAATAGTTGCGAGTTCATCTACATACATTATGCAGTTCAAGTCCTTGTCATTTAGCGTTATGTGTTCTGTAACTGAGGTATGAAAAATATCTACACCATCATTTAAAAAAATGTTGAATAATGTCGGGCTAATGACACCCACTTGTTTTAACATCGGCGCCCTCATCTAGTTTTACATTTTTAATACATGTCATATAGCACTCTCAGAAAATTACAATGGCCCGATACCTTGTTTTAACATATCACCAAAGACCATCCCTCCCTTCATGCAATGTTAACATTATGGAAAAAGTGAGTTTAAGTATTTATTAATTCAGAACTTAACCTGGGTTTCTCTTTTTTGAGACACCCTATAGAGTTTCAAAAGTCCAGGGGCCCGTTTCACAAAGCCTTTTTCTAATGACAAATGACAAAAATCAGTGACAAATCTGCTGATAACCAATCAGAAGCAAGGATTTCAGTAGCTTATAACGAAAACTATCATTTGTCACTGATGGCAAGTTTTATGAAACTACACGTATTTAGTCGATGCTAACCATGGGAAGTTGTTCGCATAGACATGGCCAAAGCGGAAGTCAATTCGATGTTGATCGACATGACATGAACAGCATGACATGAACAGTATCCCGGCGAACAACCTTCTTCATTGCCAAACAGTAAACCAACATTGGTCCTCTCTTTCATGTAGTTCTGCCCAAGACGCTGATATTATGAAAATCTGAATAAACTGCGTGTTTTCGAAGTAGCGACGCCATAGTAAACTGAAGACCATGCAATAGCCTATATTTTTAACAGGATAAAGAAGTCTAAACATACCTTACCAACTACTACACTCTCGTGTATATGGAATAATGTGGTATTATCGATTTGGGTGAGTAGTATTTGTGCAATATTATATCATATGGTAGTTTACGTACAAGCAGATGCACGCTTTCTTAGCAGTCAGGTAAGCCTAGCAAATCGACCAACCAACTTCCAAATTGAACAGTATGTATGTTGTATTACTGATATCGAATGGTCAGGTTAGATCAGAGACGTGGTTAGCGCATGTCCCAAATGACCCCGAATATCCATTTTGAAATTATCACTCCTATATCGATGGAGGTGCTACATAAATGGCGTTTGTGCATAAATGAATAATGATCTTAAACTCTCATGAGCACGTATCCAGTATTTTGTATCCGTGTGTTTTACAATTTGGTCTGCAATGACCTTTATCTGCTCATGCTCAGACAAAGTCTGTTCTCTTCATGAAATAAGATTCACTCTGTTCGTGCCTCTTTCTCTCTCTCTTCATATTGATTTCTAAGTGTGAGCTCTTTCGCCGCTACCAAACTACACGCAGGACTTCGGATTTTCGGGTTATTTTTACCACTAAACTTCGGAATTATTGGAGAAAGAAACAGAGGAAGGAAACGGAGATGATGACATCATTCCTAAACAGGGCGTTTACTTTAAGAGTGGTGTAGCCGTACTTATCGTCATGATTTATTTGAGCTTGAGTTTATTCATATTATACACTGTTAAAAAGCCCGCCATCAGCAAGTCAGCCGAGAAATACTTTTCAGCAGGGCCGTGATAAACTATATGACATACAAATAGAAAATAGCAATTGAATATAAAAATTTACTCTATAAGTGTAAACATAATGAAGTGTATATGACCTTTGCGAGATAGCTTATCGTTTTGGGTCTTAAAAGGGCAATTCAAAATGTGTCATAAGCCAAATTCTGACTTTCGTCTTTCAATCATAAGGTCGTGAGTTCGAATCCTACTCCGGACGTTAATTTCCGTAAGCAAGAAATTCATCTACATTGTGCTGCACTCCACCCAGGTGAAGTAAATGGGGACCTGGTAGGAATTTATTCCCTGAAACGCAGAGCGCGGGACGGCTGCTCTGCTAAATCCAGTGTAATTATAAGCTGCATTATTCTAGAGCGCTTAGAGACTTCTGATAAAGTAAGTGTTAGGCGATATAGGCAAATATAACTATCATGAAATATATAAATATAATCTACTGCGCTTACAATTTATTTTAATACTACTTTTGTAATATTATTACAGGAGTCACTACACTCTACCAGGGTAATTATGAATCGTACAACAGCCCAGTACAAAGTCTCCGGAAGCAATGGGAAGGTTTGTATATGAGATTTTAACTGCTCACGCACTTTTTATGCATTACACTAGTCACCACAGTGGTGTTATTTTTACCACTTATATTCGGAATTATTGAGGAATTAGAAACACAGGGAGAAGAAGAAATGGGACCCCCCCCCCCCCCCCAATCATACGAAGACACCAAATAATATTTCGTTGTTAATCGTTTATGTTGGGTAAGCTTAACGCTCGTGGGGCTCTAGACATAGATATAGCAGAAAGCACAACTATACAACTTTAACCTTAATTATACACGTCAACGGACTGTCGACCACAAGGTCCGCGGTTCGAGTCCTGCCGCGGCAATAATGTCCTTCGGCAAGGCATCTATCTACTTTTTCCACTCTCCACCAAGGTGTTAAATGGGTACCCGGTAGGATGTGAAAGCCAATGTAGTATGCTTAATAGCAATTTGAGTCTAGTAGCTCTTGCTGGAATGCTCCCCAGGGAGTGGAGAGAGTGCATACACTGTGTGCGGGCAAGCCAGAATCCGATGACTGTGGTAATAACATCGATGACCGGGATTACCCCGGTCATCGATGTTATTACCACAGTCAAGCGCTTAGAAACTCGGACATTGCCGATGTATTAGCGCGATATAAGCAGAAGTATTTGTACTATTAACTTATTGTATTGAGAGCATTAACCAGTTCAGTCTAACTGAAATCACACAGGCTGCACACATCTATGGCTATTATGAGACTAGGTTCAAATGTGACAGGAAAGTTTGGTCCACTCTTTTCATCTGTTTCTCCTCATATTTCGAATATAATTAAAGGGATCGTTTAACAATGTTAAATCTGAGATAAACGGCCCTACGTGTTATCAGTGTCTGTGATCTGATATGATGTAATATTGAAGCCCTAAAAAAATTGAGCTTCAAAATGATCAAGAAGTGCCTCAAAAAAGTAAAAATCTTTGAGTGACCGGTTTTACCATACTCGTTTTCCCCAATAGACTGTAGTGTTATGAAAACCGTCAGGCGAACGGTTTTCAAAATTTGTAATTTCAATCATAAATATCTTGATAATCAGACAGGCGATCGGCTTGTAAAAGTCACGGGGTTCCTGACTGACCTAAAGGTTTATAATTATCATTGCATCATGAGCTAATTCCAGAATATGTTTTCAGAATCTGAGACAAAGTTACCGGATCCCTTTAAGGGCATTTGAAGAATAATTATTTTCCATAGAAAATCACAACTAAATCATTCATAACCCTTATAAATTTGGTATATTTTTTAAATGGGGTTTTCGTGATTCAAAAATAAAAGGTGGACTGGTTTAATTGGGGCTTCGTTGAATTATTTTAGATGTTAGCTTCATATCACAATTTCAAGAAACTTAAATCTGGACAAGTTAATTGTTCACATACTTAAAAAAATGTCACAACTTGTTAAGGGTATGGATGATTTAGTTGTTACCCGAATGTTCTTTCGTACTCTTTACAAAGAACAATACATATCATGAATTGTTCTTCATCTTAATCGGAACGTAAACATTATTTAAAACCTTTAAAAACACCTTTTGGTACGAATAAAAATGACTGATCATTTCATAAATTCGCTTTCGTTCTTTCTGCCTGACTCCGACCATGATTGTAATGAAGGCCGAAGACAACAATCCGGATTCTTTAAAAATGGAAGAAAGATCCACCAAAGACGGATTAGTTCACGAAGATTCGACGGAAGCAGGGGAAAATACTAGCGAGCAAAGGGAAGATGACTTTCAAGAAAGATGCTGGAAGGTAGAATCATTAATATCCAGTATAAATATTGAGTTACACATTTCTGCATCTAGGCATCGTTTCACAAAACCGTCCTGAGTACAAGTTCACCGACAATCCATTGGCATGAGTGACATTTTAACACGCGTTTCCAAGGGATGTCGTTTAACTTGTACTTACGTATTGAACGTGAAACGATACCTAGTGTATGATTGTGCTTTAATTCTCCCTTGTCAAACCAATGAGACAGACACGGACCGAAAAAAGAAAAAAAAATTAAGTACCACTTGTACATCCACATATACGTTTGTTTATTCACATACATACACAAGAACATAAAGAACACGTTTCACAAAGGAAATACATTTATATACACATTTAAAGATAAACTTGAGTTATGGTAAAAAAAAAAAAAAAAATGAATTATCACAGAATCTAACGAAACTTACACTGAATGTTCAAGATTACAAATAAATCTTATGTGCCAAACAATTTTGGAAGAAAATGTATACTGGCTGATTAATGGGCATAGAAAGATAAGGAAATCAAGGTAGTACTAGCCCCGACACCATTTTTGTGTACAGTGGTTGCTACTTTACCAAGACTGGGCCAAATTTTGGATGATTTTGATGACTCCAGAATCTTGCATTACACACCAATACTTACATGCTGTATGATCAACTTTTCTGATCCATTCCACACCTTTTCTTTCACAATGCAATCGCAGTACCAGAACTCACCTGTATCTTTAAACTTAACGGATTTCATTTTATGCCTTAAATAAACATCACAAGTTATTTCTCCTTTACCGAAGCGACATCACTTTATGTCTTTACATCCCCAAACACAGACAATCTTCAAGAAAACGGCAATGTTTACTTCGTTCTTCAAAAGGAACAAGTCGATCCTAAAGAACGCCCTCATTCTAGTACTGATATGTCTTTATGCCGCCTACCTCATCGTCGCGTGCATCAAGGACTTTGAAGCCGCCATCATCCTCGTCGCCCTCACCAGCGCAACAGTGGTCGTGTATCTGTATATTCTCATCCGGGATACAAAGGGGGAAGCCATTAATGACAGGTGTATGAAACTGGTGTGGAGGATGATTGAAAAGAAATGGACTTACATAAAACGGTGAGTCAACGGATCCTTTCAGCCTCGTGACTCCCGTTCTTTGGTCAGGCATGAATCTACGTATGTCTCTCTTCACCCATGTACAGGAATCGGATACATGCCAGTGGTTGGAAGTAATTCATTCAATCATTTTTGCCCCTTAATAAGGGCCGGTTGGTTAAAGTTAGGAATAGTGCGTTGTGGGTGCCTTGATCATCCCTCCGGTTCTGTACCATGGACTAAGAGTGTTGTTTACATTAAGCATTAATAGCAATAATTGTATAAGATATATCGACGTGCTTCTTAGAAGCGTTTTTAACATCGATGGAAGTAGACAGATTTGAGTTTCAGATTTGAGGATGCTTAAGTTTTCCAAACATTTCAAATTGGTTGACTGTAAAAATTATATACATGTAAAATATTTTACTAACGCTAATTGATTTGCATCATACCAAGTGGAGCGGGCATAAGATTTTTTTTTTCATTTCTTATCTGACAGGCCATTTATTGCTGCGTCACTAGTGGGATTTGGAGTTGTGCTGTACCTCGTAACTAGACATAATCCCACTCAGCTAATATCATTCGGCGGGCTAGTCATTCTCATTTTAATCTGCTACGCCGTCTCAACATGTCCAAGCAAGGTAGAAGCCACATTTTTATTTTTCAATTGTTTTCGAATTCCAGTTTATACAAAATGAGCCATATGGATTGAATAAATGTGAATTAGTAATAAGATTTCTCAGCTGGATGAGCACCATTTCTCTATGTTATGTGTTGACGGAGTTCAACAAAAAGACCACGTTTTTAATGTATGTCCAAATAATCTTTAACAATTCTGACAAGCAACAACAATCACCGACAGAATAATGAAATGTTACATTTTAAGGGGGATCTAGAATTGATTGATGTGGGTACGAGGACTCGATTGGGTATTTTGCACCTTTTTTTTAAGTGTGAAGGTTTTTTTTTCTGGAAGACGTCACCTTCCCAAATGTGCCCCTTCCTGCATGCGCCACTGCGAAGTCAACTTTACTACCCTTTCTTTGGTTTTCTTAAATAATCTCATTGACAAATTTGTTTTAAACACAGCTAATTTTTCGCATGTTCTTTGTTTTTTAGCATGTTGGTCAAATGCAGATAATGTTTATTAAGTGCCAATATGGACTTTTAGATTTGCAAGTCGACATAGTGGACTGCCACGTGTGACGTCCTTTTAAGGCACCGTTACTTCCCTTTAAGGCACTGCCAGTTCCTTAAAAGGACGTCACACGTAGCAGTCCACTATGTCGCCGTGCAAATCTTAAAGTCCCTGTTATCATTATGAGACCCCTCCTTATTTCACAACTTTTTACCTTTTTGTTTAAATTACAGGTGAGGTGGAGACCAGTCATATGGGGACTCGTTTTGCAGTTTCTTCTAGGATTCTTCGTTCTCCGTACCTATGTCGGGTTGATTATCTTCGAGTGGCTCAACAACGTCATCGTACGGTTGTTCGGTTACTCCTCGGCAGGGGCGCTTTTCCTCTTCGGCGATGACTATCGGGAGCATTTCTTCGCATTCGCTGTACGCTCCTTTCTAATTTCAATCAAATAGATTTGACACTTATTGTCACATATTAAGTGCAAACAAACTAACAAAGTAGTTGAATTCCATAAACCATAGTCTGGTGTTTATTCCCCGCACTGGGTATCAAGTCACGCGTATCGCATATACATCGCGCACATGCGATCTGACCTCCTGAGGTCACAGGTGTCACATTTGCATAATCTGATACATATTCATTATCATGACATCCCTCCTTTGCCAGAATGAAACTTTATCCTGGTCTATTTTTATACTATAGTTTCACTGAAAATTCTTGTAATATTTCTTTTGTTCTTGTGTTTCAGCCATATGTGAATTACTGAAATAAACATGCTTTGGTGCATTTGCTTTTGTTTGGTTCTTTTTTTTTTTTTCTTTTTTTTTTTTAAAAACAACTTCTAACAAACAACAAATTTATCTGGTCGATAAACTTTTCCCAAATGTTTTATCTTCCAAACAACTTTGTTGAACAACATAACACATAACATGCAATATAATATCTTTCATGCAATATCTTTCATGCATCCAGTCTGTGGTCCAAATAAAAGTTCAACTGTTCACTGGATACTATTTGAGTTCTAGTTTTGAGTTTGTGTAAATCATCTGTTATCTCCAAGCGTTCATACGATTAGCTGAAACTGAAGTTTCTGGAAATACTCTCTTCGATGATTGAATCCATTTTTGAAAACTGATCGATGCTCCAACTCAAACTTGTGTTTTTCGCAACACCTATCACATACAATAAGGGCAGCGTTCGGCGTACACCCTTTTACATTGATTAATGTATGTGTAATATTGAAACATATATATCAGAACTTATTATTTTAGCACATAACACAACTTCCTCGTACGCTTGGTTTCCATGGTGATTTCTCCAACATGTCGATTTCACAAATATGGGCAGCGCAAGGCGTACACCCTTTAAATCATAACTTGGCTTCAACCAATGATTTCCAACCATTTCTCCTTGGCACATGTAGTTTCAGATATCACTGTCGCTATTTTACAAAGAGCTCATCCCCACCATATTGATCTGGAATCACACAAAATCATCATATCGCTTAGGGAATCTTCTCTGGCGTTGTGGTCTACTAGCTGCCATAGGAACGTTGGTGTTTGTTGTCTCTGCTTGGGTATCACCATCTTGATGTCTCTGGTCACCGCCTGATGTGTTGCTCGCTGCCTCCGAGTCTGGATCTCTGGTCACCGCCTCAGGAGTACTGGTCTCCGCCTCAGGATTACCGTCCGACCCTTCAGGAATACCGGTCACCGCCTCATGATTGCCGTCTGTCCTCTCTGGATTGGCAGCTTCGTTACGAGTGTCTCGGGACATGTATCTTTTTACACTTGATACATTCCTATTATACAGGACTCCGTCAGGAGATTTCACAGTTACCATACTTCCTGTTCTTGCTGTCACTGTGTATGGCTGGCTAAAGTATGGCGTGTCTAGTTTCCTCCTTTCATCACGTCTTACTATCACCTTATCTCCTGGCACTATGTCAGAATGTACGGCTCCCCTCTTCAGATCTGCATAGTGTTTTGCACCACTTTTCATTTGGAGGTCCCTGTCTCTGAGTTCCTGATCCTCACTAATGTCCTGGATTTGTGGTAGTTTAGTTCGGATCTTTCTCCCGAACAACACTTCTGCCGGGCTTTTCCCCGTTGTCGAATGAGTACTAGCCCGGTAGACTGCGACGTAAGTCAGCAAGGCCTCCTTCCAATCCTTGCCTTCTGCCTGTGCAATTCTAAGCCTTTTCACTATACTCTGGTTCTGTCTTTCGACCTCGCCGTTGGCTTGGGGCCATTTAGGAGTCACCCGATGGTGTTGAATTCCTGTAACGTTCATGTACTCTGCGAAAACTTCTGAGATGAACTGGGGTCCATTGTCTGAGTATAACGTCACAGGTAACCCATGTCTGCCAAAGATTTCAGCCAGGGCTTTGACTGTCTTCTCTGCAGTGGTTGATTTCATGATTGCATACTCGTAGTATCTGCTATAATAATCAACTACCACAAGTATAGATTCTCCTGTCGGAAGTGGTCCTAGGAAATCAACAGCTACATCCACCCAAGGTCCTGTTGGCAACATAGTACTTCGAATTGGTTCTGGTGGATTACCCCTGCTTGTGATTTGGCACCCATGACAAGTCTTGACGAATTTCTCTGCATCTTTCTCACATCCTGGCCACCATACCTTGGTTCTCAAATTCTGTTTGGTGCCAACAATGCCCAGGTGTCCTTCGTGAGCTAATGACACCATCTTTGGCCTCTGTGCCTGTGGAATCACCAATCTGCTACCTCTCAGCACACACTGACCAATTATACAGAGTTCATCCTTGATGGGAATGTATGCTTTGTATGGACAATCATCCCATTGTCCACTGTGAATACACTCTCTGATAACTTCAAGTTCAGGATCATGTTCAGATTCTCTTTCGACTTCCTTCGTTGTCACCGCACCTGGCGTTGACTGGACTGCCACAAAACGCACAAAGCTCTCTGCTTTTGTTTCCAACACAGAAGTTTCTCTCGGTTGATCATCCTTCAGCAATCTTGACAATGGATCTGCTATGTTGGACTTTCCTGCGATGTGGACTACCCTGTACTTGTACTGTTGAAGCCTCAGAACCCACCGCTCTATTCTCGCACATGGCTTAGATCTCGGTGAATAAATGACTTCAAGCGGTTTGTGATCAGTCACTAGATCAAACTCTATTCCATACAGGTACGCATGGAATCTTTCACAAGCCCACACAAGTCCAAGGGCTTCTTTCTCCGTCTGAGAGTATCTCCTTTCAACGTTACTTAACGAGCGGCTGGCATATGCTACTATCCTCGGGCCATCAGCATGCACCTGCACCAGCACTGCTCCTAAGCCAACTGGACTGGCATCCGCTATGACCTTTGTCGGTGCATTTAGATCATAGTAGCCCAGGGTCTCTGCACTCATTAAGCTTTCCTTCAGCGCCTTAAACGCTTGTTGTTGTTCATGACCAAATTGAAATGGCGTGTCCTTTCTGGTCAGCTTTCTCAGTGGATCTGCCAATGTAGCAAAGTTCGGAATGAACTTTGCGCAGTAGTTGACTAGCCCCAAGAAACTTCTCATCTCAGTTGCAGTCTGGGGTTCACGGGCCTCTGCAATTGCTTTCACCTTGGCCAATCCTGGGTTGAGTCCCTCGCTAGTCAGTCTGTGCCCCATGAAGTCCAACTCAGAGACACCAAACTTACACTTTTCTGCATTTGCAGTAAGTCCTGCGTCCCGCAGTCTGCCAAGCACCTGCTTCAACCTCTTGTCATGCTCTTTCTGGGTCGATGCATGCACAATGATGTCATCTGATATGTTCGCAGCTCCTTCTATCCCAGCTATCACTCTGTGTATCTCATATTGATAAATCTCTGGAGCAGCATTGATTCCGAACAACAGTCTCTTATAGCGGAACAACCCACAATGAGTGACAAAGGTTGTCACCTCTCTAGACTCCGGATGTAACTCCAGTTGGTGGTACCCCCACTTCAGGTCTATTTTCGAAAAGACCTTGCTAATCGACAGCTCCTGTAGGACTTCCTCAATAGTGGGAATGGGGTGACGTTCTCTTATGATTGCTTCGTTCACTCTACGCATATCGATACACAGTCTAATTTCATCATTTCTCTTTGGAACTATGACAACTGGGCTTACCCATGGCGTGGAGCGTTCAACTGGCTCAATGATGTCGAGATCGATCAATTCCGCAATCTTCATCTCGACCTTTTTTCTCAGTCCAAATGGAGTCCTTCGCACAGGCTGGGCCACTGGCTTCACCGTTTCATCCACTGCTAACCGCACCTGTCGGCCCTTCAACTTCCCAACTCCTTTGAAGACTGCTTCAAACTCCTGCTTTAAACCTGCATAACTCTGTACCGCATTTACATGTACAATTCCCACCTGGAGCACTCCCAGCTCTCTAGACGTATGTTTGCTCAGTAAAGGTTCTCCCTTTTCTTTAATGACAACAAACTCTGCAGTCGACTTCATCTTGCCAACTTCTACTGTGGCTGTGAAACATCCAACAGTTGTTAATGGTATCTGTGATGTGTACGGATAAAGCCTCTTGGTACTCTTAGTAGATTTGCAGATGATTTTGTCCTTCTTCAGTTTCTCCCACAATATCTGATCTATTACATTGCAATCACTTCCCGAATCTACTATCACTGGGACTGTGACACCTCCAATGATTATTGGGACTTTCTCATGATCACCATTCACAGCAAATTGATAGTACCTCTGATCACGGCCACGGCTGTTGTCATCATCACTATCATGTCCGGGTTCACCTTCCACTTGGCGAACTCTATTCTTATACTTCTTTCCATCTCTGGACTTCCCATCTCTGAATTTTCCTCTCGCCTCACTTGTGCTCTTGGCCTTACTTTTGCACATCGTCGCAAAGTGGTTTTGGCCTCCACATTTCCGACAGATCTTTCCTTTGGCTGGACATGATGCATCCTTCCCAAAATGTCCTTTGTTCCCACATCGGTAGCATTCCAAATTCTTTTTTCTGTCATTCTCATACGATACTCGGTTCACTTGAACTTGTCCACCAGCTCTAGGCCTTTCTCTCTCTCTCAATGACATGGAGTTAAATTGACCTTCAACAGCTTCTAGAGCAGCAGCCATGGACAATGCATCATTTAACTTGAGCTCACCTCCTTTCTCCAGCATTCTCCTGCGAAGTTTATCAGCTCTGCAGTACTGAACTACTTGGTCAAGAATTTGGTTTTCTACATCCCCAGCTACGAAATTGCATCCAATAGCAACCTGTCGTAATTTGGTAACAAATTGGGCAACCGTTTCACCATCTTCCTGCTTTGTTTTCCTGAACAAATGTCTTTGAAACGTAGCATTAGGTTTGACAACATAATGAGCATTTAGGGCATCTGTGGCTTTTTGATACTCATTCCTCTCTCCTTTATTGGGAAGTGTTTTGAAAGTCTCCCTTACCACAGGCCCCGCAGTGTACAGCAACAGTGCTCTTCGTTGCGCCTCCTGGGCCGGCGTACATCCGTCCAGAAACAGGCCGCGACTATCGGCGTAGGCTTCGAACTCTTCAAGCCAAGCTTTCCACTTGCCGCTGACAATACTTGCACCACCCGTCGGATCGAAGTGTGGAACTCCTCGAAGCGCTAACAATTCCGCTCCAGCGAATGCCATGTTGAAACTTTTCCAGCTCGTAGCCACAGATTCAACATCCAAGAAACATTAATCCTCGTCGCCAATGTCACATATTAAGTGCAAACAAACTAACAAAGTAGTTGAATTCCATAAACCATAGTCTGGTGTTTATTCCCCGCACTGGGTATCAAGTCACGCGTATCGCATATACATCGCGCACATGCGATCTGACCTCCTGAGGTCACAGGTGTCACATTTGCATAATCTGATACATATTCATTATCATGACACTTATGATTTATCGTCATCGCGAAAGTTGTAATCTAAAGCTTTATAGAGAAGGTTGAGTTCTGGGAAGAGGTGAAAAATAATTTGCGAGCATTACTCATTCTTATTATGCAAGTGTGGAAGAACATCAGATAAGACATGTTCCCTAAAAAGCATGGCTCTTCAAATGCCTTCATATTCTAAATATGCATGTAACGTCGTAAAAATCGGGGGGGGGCGGCTTTTTACGCCACGTGTTCGTGTAGTCCCATATACATCTTTCTGTGTACAGTGTTTGTAACTTTACAAAGACTTGGCCAAATTTCTTATCATTTTGATGATTCCAGAACCTTGCAATACACACAAATTCTTATATGCTAGATGATCAACCTTTTCTGGTCGGTCACCACACCGTTTCTTTCACAATGCAATCGCATGACCAGAACTCAACTTCATCTTAAAGGGCAATCCTTGACAAATAGTTCATTGCATGAAAACAGAAAGAGAAAGAAACAGAACGGTGAAAATTTGAAATAAATCCGCCCAATAACGAGAGATATGAATTCTCCAAATACAGTATATGGGAATCCTCAAAGTAGCAATTTATCAGTGGATTGTGGTGTAGTCAGGGACAACCATATTCGTTGCCGTGTACAAAAATATAAGTAATATCTAAATTTCTCCTGAACACATTATTCCTCGAGGCACACCTCTAAATAAATTATGGATAAAGTTATCATAAGTTCTAGGGAACGCAATAAAGAATCATGATACCTCTTTGCATGCTCTAGTCTGCACCTCGTATCGTACGAATATCGTACAACTGGGCGTGGCTTATAGTTTGTGCACACTTTTTTATAGTCTGCATGAACAGGCTGTCAAACAAGAACTGGCAATATTTGCCGAATTTTGATTGGTTGGTCGTCTTAAAAGGAGATGGTTGTCAGTTTCCACGTGCAGTAGGTCATAATTAAATCGCTGACACCAGACTTGGTGGAAATACCATTGATGGGTGTACGAGCTCTCGCACACAGCGAACCCGTGGTCCCATCATCTCTCGGAGAGTCTTCGGGTGAGGGAAATGTAAGATATTGACTTTTATAGATGGCGTATTGGTGGAGAATGAAGGGCATTACATAAGGCCTGTTGGCCATAAAACTGAAAGCTAATCCTAATTCTGTTTGACAAAACTTGTTATTGCGTAAACACCCGGAAGGTGTCGTATCTCCCATGAAAGCCCACTACTAGCGTCTTTAAAGGCATCGTTTAACAATGTTAAATTTGAGATGCATGACCCTACGTGTTATCAGTGTCTGTGATATGGTGTAAAATTGAAGCCCTAAACAAATTGCGCTTCAAAATGATCATGATTCATGAAGTGCCTCAAAAAAGTAAAAAATCTTTGAGTTACCGATTTTACCATACTCATATCCCCAATAGTCTGTAGTGTTATAAAAACCGTTAGGAAAACTTTTTTATTTTCGATTTCTAATCGGAAATATCTTGATAATCATGCAGGCGAACAGCTTGTCAAAGTCATGGGATTCCTGACTGACCTAAAGGTTTATAATTATCATTGCAGCATGATCTAAATCCAGGATTTTGTTTCAGAGTCTGAGACAAAGTTACCCAATCCCTTTGGGTGGTATTCTCGAAAGCGGACTAACTTTGGTCCATGGTTTAATCCACCGACTAAGTATGAAATGCCAAGTGTCCATATGAATATATTTTTGAATAATTTGATATGTCCCTAAATTACCATGATAACATAATTATATCATAGTTATATTGTTGTTTATTGATTATGTTATTACATTTTATTTTAATTTAGTGACAGATTAAATTATTCAAAAACACATTCATATGGACATTTGGCATTCCATACTTAGTCGGTGGATTAAACCATGGACTAAAGTTAGTCCGCTTTCGAGAATACCACCCTTTCAAACTGCAGGTACTGCCCATTGTGTTCTACTTCAGTGCACTCATCTCCGTCCTGTACTACTGGGGAGTCATGCAGGTACTGATTCAGAAGATGGCCTGGCTCATGCAGAGGACCATGCAGACTACAGCCATCGAGTCCATCAGTGCAGCAGGAAACATCTTCTTTGGCATGGTAAATATGCACAGGGGAGGGGGGGGGGGGAGTCACAAAGACTAAGGTCGAATTTAAATTGGACTTAACTACGGCAGGCCATTCATACCACTAGTTCCTCTAACCATTCCTAGCTGGGATTGGTTTTTCAAGGGACGTACAAAACGTGGTCACAAATTTACCTTTTTTGATAGTTCATTATTGAAGGAAGAAATATTATCTAAAGATCATGATTGAGAGACCAATGGTGATAGCAACCAGTGGCATGAACAGCCTGTCATAGTTAAGTCCAACCTAAAGTCAATCTTAGTCTTTGTGAAACACTCCCCAGGTTTTCCTCGATGGTTATAGAATTTGTAATATTTGTTTTACTTTTGTTTGTTTTTTGTTCTCTCTACAATGTTGCAGTATCTATAACATTCTAAGCAGATACTTGGTAGGTGTCAATGACACCTACCAAGTATCAATATGGCTTTAGTTTGTCTGGAATCGTCTAGGTGCACTTTTCCTGAAGTCCATTTATCATCTTCTGAACCCTCTTTTGTAATCGATCCAGACTGATCCACAAGCCGTCAAATCAATCGCAAACTAGAAAACTCCTATCTATGTAGTACAAAGTTTGGATTGTTTATTAATCAATCTCAACTCTTTATAAGACGGGTCTGATGTGAAAACCGGTAGAATATCACGACATGAACACTGCTTTTGAAATGCATTTAGTCGAGGAAAAAAATTCTCATAAAAAATACGTAAATGCACGCGTGTCTATTCGCCCTCTCTCGACAGCGTTTACGTAATAAAGTCAAACTTGCTTCAGTGACCACCTGTCTACAAAGACCACCTGTCCACAAAAACCACTTTTTTGTCTCGCTTGAAAATGGTTTCTCATTAAAACATGTACTAAAGGAACCTGTCTTCAAAGACCACTTTTTGTGTTTCCCTTGGGCGGTTTATAGACAGGTTTGACTGTATAGCGATATTAAAGCACTATTTTTGACGACAGCGGAATACCTCCATTTTGTCCTGACTGTTTACAGAGCGAGTCTTCGGTGATGATCGCGCCATACCTGGATGTAATGACCAAGTCCGAGCTCCACGCGGTCATAACCGGTGGTTTGGCCACGGTAGCGGGCGCCACGCTGGGTGGCTACATCTTCGCGGGGATCGACCCCTCCCATCTGATTGCTGCCTCGGTGATGTCGGCGCCCGCCGCGCTGGCTATATCCAAGCTGGCATACCCGGAGACAGAGCAGTCGAAACTCATCACAGAGAGTGATGTAGAACTTTCGAAAAGGTACAAACATTAACAGTAAAATAACGAGAACGGCCTCAAATGAAGACATTCATATAGAATTTCGGAGAAAAAAACCTTAAGGCCTTGTGCGTCAACTATTGAAGTAGGTAAAAAAAAAATGATAAAGGCGTATTACGAGTATTCAAATTGCCTTGAATCGATTTTTTATTTTTATTTTTTTTTATTTTTTTTATCGTGTTCAGTTCCATTGCGTGTTTCACGCAATGTCACTAGTAACTATGTTAACATTAAAGAGAGAGGGGGGGGGGGTTATCGATGCTCTCCAATCTTACATTCTATCTCAAACTTTATCTCTCTTCGAACTCCTCTATTTTCTCTGCGTGGTTACCGTGGTGTGTGTAATGTGTTTTCTGATTATCTACGTTGTCTCTTCACACGTTTCCTCGATCCTCAGTTTCTGAGTTTCTTCCAATCTTTGTCATCAATTTTCTTGTCATCCTCTGCTCTAGAACTGAGCGAAATGTAGTTGAAGCAGCAGCAAATGGAGCGGCGATGGGCATATCACTTGTCCTCAACATCGCCGCCAACCTAGTGGCCTTTCTCTCCCTCCTTGCCCTCATCAACGCACTCCTCGGGTACTTTGGAGGGCTCATTGGTTATCCTCAGTTGACCTTTGAGGTATATCAATCAAAATCGGCTGAACGACATATATTCTCCGACGACAACTGCTTCGTGGTCGGCTTACTTCGAATCATCAGGTCATCACGTTAGGTCGAGTGGCCGCGTTACCCGACCTTTTGTGAAAACATGCCCTTTTATTCACAAAATGTCTGGGGTAATGTTTTTGAGATAAACCGCTCTCATCTACAAATGGTCTGGTCCAATTTACCCGACACTTCGTGGAAACCCTTCGGAAAATCAGAGCAAGTTCGCGTTCTTAACGTGCATCTTCGCATGCTGATCTCCCGTTTTCCTTTCACGAAAGGTCATTTCACGCGACCGCCCGACCGAACGCGATGACCCGATGATTCGATGTGAGCATCCGTGGTCAACGATCTAGAACGAAATTCTCATCTTTATCTCTTGACTAAACCGCCCCAACTACTCCAATCCTACCTCTCAACTTAAGTCTAAACACCACTTGAAGCCCAATCCCAGCAATACATATTCAATTGACGAAATTTGACCCTACCCAACTAAACCTGACCTTGTGCCTACCTTAACCTTAAACCCACTTGCAACCTAAATCTACATGTATTGATTTGACCCCCCCCCCCCCTTCCCCTAAATAATGGTGTCATGTAGGAGTACATCAGAAACAGGAAAACAACGACTGATCAACTAGTCAACGACTAATAAGAGATGGTCATAGCTCAAATTTAAGAGAGGAGTGGTAAGTGGCGTGACCAACTTTTTGGCCAGTTGACGCTCGCCCTCTCCTTCGGAACTTCCAGGGGAACAAATCATTCTTCCAGTTGGTTCACGGCACACGAGAAAAATCTGCGAAACTCCTCCCACCCCAGTTTTCCAGGTTTAGCTTCTCAATTATTTTAGATCGTGTTCTCTTAATTCACTTTGACCCGTCGCCTTTTTACCACTCTGTCTTCCAGTTGATCTGTTCCTACGTCTTCATGCCTCTAGCTTTCATCATGGGAGTGGAGTGGGGTGACTGCCAGCTTGTGGCCGAGTTGATAGGTCTCAAGACTTTCCTGAATGAATTCTACGCGTATGGTGTCATGGGGCAGTACATCAAGAACAGGGACACAGGAGATGGACCAACGCTATCTGTAAGTGTAACCAAATCGTAGCAGTGGTGGAGCTCCATTGATGGCAAAAAAGGTTGATGAAAATTAAGTCAAATTGCTTTTAGAACTGTACAAAGTCGCTCTCCAAAAACGATATGGACGTTAGGCTATAGTGGATCAGTTATTCACAGCGTCATCAAGTTCTTAAGAACGGGTTATATTATCTGGTTGTTCTTTATTCTTTGATAGATGCAAAATGTATTGTCCATGGCTCAGACACCTTCCTCAGACCTAAACTAGCCGGCAAATTGCCGTTTGCCTAGTCATTAAGGTTTAACAATGTTAAATCTGATATGCATGGCCCTACGTTATCAGTGTCTGTGATATATGGTGTAAATTTGAAGCCCTAAAAATTGCGCTTCAAAATGATTATGAAGTGCCTCAAAAAAATAAAAAATCTTTGAGTGACCGGTTTCACCATACTCATTTCCCCCAATAGACTGTAGTGTTATGAAAACCGTTAGGAAAACATAAAATGACATTTTGATTTTCAGTCATAAATGTCCTGATAATCAGACAGGCCACCGGCTTATAAAAGTCATGGGATTCCTGAATGACCTAAAGGTTTATAATTATGATTGCAGCATATTAAGCTAAATCAAAGATTTTGTTTAAGGATCTGAGACAAATCTACCAGATCCCTTTAATGTGAGACAACAGTACTAGTAGGCGTCCCTGTCTGCGAGTACATTTCTGAGTAAAGGGTGTCTGAACCATGCACATCGATCGGAACGTTCACATGGTTAGTATTTTGGAATATGTCCCCGATGTCTTAACTTGCTAATGTACCATTATTCTGTTACTAAGTTCGGAGGGTGCAATAAATGTTTCATTTGCAGTACTGTCAACTGTACCAAATTATAGTTTGTTGAAGTGTCTGATGCTGTTCTCACTGGCGTGACAGTGCATAATATGTCTCATTTGTTGTCAAGGTGCGGTCAGAGGTGATTGCGACGTACGCCCTCTGCGGTTTCTCCAATATAGGCTCTATCGGCATGATCTTAGGAATCCTCGGCCCACTGGCACCCAAACAGAGAAAGGTATTGTCCCCTGTAGCTCTCCGTGCCCTCTTTGCTGGATCCGTAGCTTGCTTCACCACAGCTTGCATTGCAGGTATAGATTGATGTGTTTTTATTTGTTTGCAAATATGACCAAGCAGCAGGCACGCAGCCAGAGTTTGATGTTTGGGGTAGGGGGGCACATACATGTAATTGATCGAGGTCAAAAAAGGGGTCTTAAAAAGTTCAAGCGATCTTGGAAATTTGTGGGGGGCATGCACATGCCCCCCCCCCCCCCGTGGCTACGTGCCTACGTACTATATTTGGCGCGTCTTATCTTCGATATAATGACCAAGGACTATACCGTGCAACAGTGGCGTACCTGGGGTACTCCGTCAGGGGGGGCAAGCGACCGAAACAAACAAAAAAGGCGATGCTAATTTTCACTTCTGGCGAGCGAGCGAGCAAAAAAAAACTTTAAGTAACGTTTGGTATATAAACTGATATTGTTGCAAGTTGGGGGTGGGAACATTCACTTATTAGCGACGTTAATTTCATTTTTTTGCAAAGGAGCGTAGCGAGCAAGAAAAAAATCAATTCTTTTTTAATAATTGCCACTTAAACTTGGTTCAATTGTCCCATGCAGGGCGCGGGAAGAATATTGTGTTTAGGGTGATTTTATACCCATTTTAGCTAGCGAGCCAAAATACATCTTTCTCTCAATGAATTGCTATATAAAATTTGTTTCATTGTTGCAGGTCGGGGGCGGGCACAATCGTGTTTAAGGCAATGTCAATCCCATTTTGGCGGGCAGGCAACCCCGTACATTTCTCTTTTTAAAGATATTGTAGCAGATTAGTGGTGGGTACATAATTCTACGAGCTAGCGAGCGTATAGCTAGCGAGCGAGCGAAAAAAATCACTTCTCTTTTATAGGGAAAATATGGTATGGTGATTTTATACCCATTTTAGCTAGCGAGCCAAAATACATCTTTCTCTCAATGAATTGCTATATAAAATTTGTTTCATTGTTGCAGGTCGGGGGCGGGCACAATCGTGTTTAAGGCAATGTCAATCCCATTTTGGCGGGCAGGCAACCCCCTACATTTCTCTTTTTAATGATATTGTAGCAGGTTAGTGGTGGGTACATAATTCCACGAGGTAGCGAGCGAAAAAATCACTTCTCTTTTATAGGGAAAATATGGTACATAAAACTTGGGTTCATTGTTCCATGTCAGGGACGTGATTATTAAAAGCGGTGTTATTTCTATTTTGGCGAGCGAGCGTAGCGAGCGAGCAAAAAAAATCACTTCTCTTCTATAGGGAAAATATGGTACATAAACTTGGGTTCATTGTTCCATGTCAGGGACGTGATTATTAACCCGTTGGCTACTGAATTATCTAATTCCCATAGGCTTAACACAGGGACCACCAGGTTCCCGTAAGCAATGGGTTAAAAGCGGTGTTATTTCTATTTTGGCGAGCGAGCGTAGCGAGCGAGCAAAATTTTTGTAATGATAATTGGTTCATAAATTTCAGATTTTTTTGTTGCAGGGCAGGGCTTACACAATCATGTCTAAGGTGATGTTAATTCCGTTTTGGCGAGCACGAGCACACCAAAACCTCTTTGAATAACGTTTGGTACATAATTATTAACTGGTTGTTGCAGATTGGGGCGGGCACGTTAGCGGTGTCAATTCCATTTTGGCGAGCGAGCATAGCGAGCAAGCAAAAAAAATTCTCTTTTAATAGAAATTAATAAATAAACTTGTTTTTATTGGTGCAGGTCAGGATGGACGCAATCGCGTTTAACGCGATTCAATTCCTTTTTGGCGAGAGGGCGAAAAACTCTTCCATTTTTAATGATATTGTTGCAGGTCAAGGGTGGGCACAATTGTTTTCAAAGCAATATCTATTCATTTTATTCGCGAGCAAGTGTAGCGAGCGAGAAAAATGAATTACTCTCTTTTAGTAACATTTGGTACATACACTGTGTGTTATTGTTGCCACGGTTGCAGGTCGGGGCAGGCACAATTGTATTCTAGGCAATGCTAATCCTTTTCTTTTTTCAGGGGGACGAGCAAGTGAAAACATTTAATACAAAATAGGCTAGCAAGCAGTTCGCGCCAGCGAAGAGTTTCGAATTTGTTATATCACTTATATTTTCCTATTTTCATTTGTCTTAATTTTTCAGGGCCATATGCGGAATATTTTTCTGGTGGGGGAGGGGGAAAGATGCGTTAAAAGTTTTCGAAGAATCTCAAAAGCAAAAGGAGTGAAGGGAGTTCGAGCGACCGAACAGGTCATGAGGGTACTTTTGCATTTTCAAAAGTAGAATTGAAGGATTTGGTATAGGCCTACACTACATTTTCAGGAAAAAAATTGTACGTTTTCAAAATATCTGGGGTCAACTGCCCCCCCCCCCTCCCCCTGGTGCGTACGGCCATGGTATTTTTTTTTTAAAAATTCCCCATTTTTTTCCTTTCCTTTTCTTTTCCCTTTTTCTTCCTTTTCTCTTCTTCTTCCTTTTTTCTTTCCTTTTTCTTTTTTTCCTTTTTTCTCTTTTTTTGCTTTTTTTCTTCCCTTTTCTTTTTTTCTTTTTCTTTCCTTTCCTTCTTTTCTTTTCTTTCCCCTTTTTCTTTTTTTCCCCTGGAGCCAGTCAGGGGGGCACTCTGCCCCCCTGCCCCCCCCCCGTAGGTACGCCAGTGCCGTGCAATATGTGTTCCGTACCGAACTAACGGTTCTTTCTGTACCAAGGTCATATCAAGATATCTTGAACGAGATATGACATTACGTTGTCAGGAACACCTTGTACTGAATCGCCTCGCCTACCTTGGTTTCCATGACAAAAGTAGGGGAAAATTCTCAGATCAAACAACTGTATTATTTATACAGTCAGCCCCGCCCACCTCCCTAACGCACATACACGCACACACACACACACACACACCCACACGCACACACGGCCATGTGAAAGAGCATGTTGCTTGCAAAACGGAGCAATCTATCTTAAAGTAGATATCCATTGAATTTAAGAACTAATTTTATGTTCATTATTGCAACGTTGAAACTTTGATTCGACAAGGTTATCAAAATTCAATGCTTGGAAACATTTGAAGTAATGATTATTATAAATTACAAAACGCTTAAATACAGCCCCGGCATAGCACCTGAAGAGCTCGCTGCTGAGATGTGTGAGATCACAATATGGACATGATTTGCACAAGCAGACGATGTCCCATGACATCTTACACATTTTCAGTGCCTGTGTTTTCAACTTCTCTTGAGTTTTTTCTCTTACTTCACTACTGTCAGGTTAAATGTATAATCTATTGCCTCACTCTAAACATCGCGCATGGTTTTATTTTAATGACAAATGCAGCGATACAAAAATAAAGGAATCTGTCGCTTGTAAACAAAATAAAACACCATTGTATATTCAACTGCACACACCGCGGTATGTTCGGCGTTCCAAAGGGGAACAAATGCCGTCCTTAGTATCATTCCGGGGGGTTTTCAATTTGAAAGTCTGGTTTCTTTGATTGTTAATTAACCCCTATCCTGTGTATTTACAAGCAAAAGATTTTAATTATCAGAATCGGGTCATATCCCATTTTGAATGGTTTGACATGCCATTACATTTATATACACTAAACTCATTATAATTTGACAAATAATAGCTTTGCAATTAGGTTCATTCTTTATGGGATGTCGTCTGCTTGGGCAGTATCGGTCCATATAGTGACGTCATTAAAACATTGTTATTTTTCCGGCGAATCTCTCGTATATACCAGCTGCTATGGAGGTGGTTGTATTTCTATTTTTTATAAATATGTAATATATGATATATAATATGTAGTTGACCTAAAACTTGTACGATGGCCATCTGTTAGCTTACCAGTTCCTAGGGATACATTAGTTGACATATTTGTGATTTTCTTTGAATTTCACCTTTAACCAGCCTCATTTTCATATCGATAGTCACACCGACGATACCTATATACCAGGACCCGTCTTATAAACAGTTACGTTCAATAGTAGTACTTATTTGCGATTTATATCATTCGCAACTATGTACATAAGAGATAGGATACTGCAAAATAGTGCCTGATTAGAGGACTTTCGGTTGATTTAAATCAATCGCAATTCTTTATGAGACCGGGCCAGTTTCATTTTGCCCTGTATGGTCCCAAAACCCGCGGTTTTAAGTCATAAATGACTGTACGTGTTATATTGTTTGTTGCAGACTGATAGACCATTTTAAGATATAATTTTGGAGGCCGTGCTATGGCAAGAAATGATCAGTGGTTTATCCAATTTCTCCTCTTCCGCCTCTTATGCGACAGGCATCTTGTACGTGCCCGAGGAGTTCATACAAACCAATTCGACATCGACACCGGGGATGACTACCGTATATTGAGGGGAAAAGGATACGAGACGATTTTGAGGCTGATATATATACTGCATGCCCCTACTTGAATTAAATATGATACTACATACTTGCATACAGTGGCATAGCTGCAGGGGACATGGGAGACACTTATTCAATCTTCCAAACAAAATAGAGTGGTGAGCAGAAAGAAAAAGAAAGAAGACAAAAAAACGAGAAAAGAAAGAAAGGGAAAGGGTTGAGGGTAAAAGGGTATCAGAAGGCGTCTCGACAATTCCCCGCAGCCCCTTTTCCAATAAGTAGCCATGTAAATTAGCATTTCCTTTTTCCAGTAAAACTGGTGCCCCCTATCGCGCCTCCGCCCCCTCAACGAATGGACTCGCTCTTCGCCACTGCCTGTAGGTAGTATGTATCAGAACAGCTACCACCTGGCGGTCATCAGATACTAGTGAACTTTGACCCCTCAGCAGGTGTATAGTGATTATAATGATAATTATGATAAAGATAATAATAATAATATCAACAATGATAATAATTATATTATCATTATTATAATAATATTTCATCACTTTTATTATTATTATCATTATCATAATGATTAACATTATCATTATTACTATCATCATCCTCATCACCGTTATTATTTTTGTGGCAGGAAAACCATAGCTCTTTCACTGCCCTTTAAATTTCTTGTCCACGATTCCCCTTTTCTTGTAAATGTTTATCATCGTAAACTATATATGAGGGCTACACGCACGTCAATCTACTCGTTTGCCGTAAAGCTTTTCCTATTGTGTCAAAGATAAGTTAATGTCATGCAATCTCTATGTTTAATTTCATATATTTTCAAGTTGTGTTCTTGAAAACTTATATCAGGTCTATAACGTTCAGGGAAGTTAGCCAGTACGCATCTATGAATACTGGCATTTATGTTATTAGTGATATGTTTACAGTTAGATTGAGTTATTTCCGAATGTTAGCACATGACCTACGTCATGTAAGTTACCTTTGTATTTCTGGTTTGTTCATGCTTTTTATGTTTAAGCATTTCATGTGAAAAGATATTATGCAACAAAAACAACACTTTATGAATGTATAACTTTATTAGTAAATTATACAAAAGGCGGTTTCAAACATAACGACACAATAAATTGCATTGCAGGGCGTTGCATATCATGGTTGTTGAAATAGCTATAATGTTGAGTAAGGGATGCTGCCATTATGGAAACATGCTGTTTTTGTCTGTTTAATTACTGAAATAATCATTATAATTATATTTTCATTCTGAGTAATCAATACATTTTTATAATCCAAAGAAACCCTGTTCTAATTTTGGAGAAATTAATATCTAAAAATGATGCTTCCACTATGAAAATATGCTGTTTCATTCGCTTTTGTCTAAAATAATAATTGTAGTTGTATTTACCCTTTTAGTGAAAAAAAGGGTTTTGATACCACAAAACCCTGTCCTTTATATTAAGGAAATGAATCGCGTCCGTGGCCGGCAAAGTGGTGTTCTAAATGAAATTATAATGTAATGAAAACTTCGCAAGGAAAAGCATCTGATACGTACACTGTTGGTCATAATGGTGGAATAATTATTTTTACCCCAATTTATGGAATGATTTTGACAATGACTTATTCCTAATAGATCTAGATAATAGTATACATTCTCAGATTTTATTGAATAACAATTTGTGAGTATTTGTTTTGAGTGACAGCTAAATCATGTATGTGATACTATGCTAATCAACTAGGGGACCTACGTCCTTAAGTCATAACTGACAGTAATGAGGATTAATGCCTCATAAAAGGGCAGTAATAGGCCTATAGCACATCGACACGGTTTTGATCATGGGGTCTCACAGTAACGAGGCCATTGCTTAGCCACTGAATCATGATTGTACGCAGCGGTGGCTAGGGTACGTCGCTGCCCCCACAAATACAAAAAAAAGAAAAAAGAAAATGCAATAAATTATCAATAATTAATTGCATTTCCCCCGGTCTCCAACATGAAAAATTTCTCCTTAGGGTTGAAGGCATGCCCACATAGAGTATTTTTTATGTTGGGGATCGGGGCAAAATGCAATAAATTATTGATAATTGATTGCATTTTCTTTGTTCCATCTTTATGACCAACAGTGTATTATAAATTCGACAGATATAAACTATGTAAAGAGAAACAAAATAACACAGAAAATGACAGCATCAACAACAACAAAATAATTAAAGAACACGTTGAAAAATCAGTCAACGTCACACAAGTTAATCAGGCAGTTTTTAAAAAAAATCTGTGGTTCTTCCGAAGGCACTGCAGCGCCATGAAGTTCACAATTCTGTCGCAGTGGAGGCAAGCTTCTTATTATAAATTCAGCCAAGTCACAATCAATATTCAAGTCATCGATACCCCAGCCATACCTATGAGAATGACGTCAGAGCATCCACGCACAAATATCTTGAAATTATATTTATTGCTCCAAAAATGTCCTTAAGTTCAACGAATCCGTCATACCAGTAGTAGCCAACGCCCAAACAAAGATGAAGTTATCACTCCTGTGGTTGTCATGGTAACTGATACCAGCATCATCCAGGGATGCGTGGTGATCCTCTGCGCATCTGAGATGAGATGAGGAGAGCTTTTATCCAGGCACCCGAAACCGTAGCAGTCGAATGGCGAGGAGAGGTTGCCGGTGGGTGAAAAGGGTGATAACACGATATCTGTGGTGGATGGAAGTACAGTGGAAAGCACATTAGATTCCATACCTATGATAGTTCATAACAAATTAAGGTACATAATGTTTTCATGTGAAATATCCACACAAGAATCCCTTGAAATACTACTAGAGCTCCTAATTACGATAGCTCTTCCTAAAAATCGGGGTAGTATACATTACTTCTTAATTTCGTTATGCTTAATTACGATTATTACACAAAAAACAATGGAAGGTAGAAAATTAACTTGAAGAAATTTAATACAACTGCGAGTGATCTGTATGTGGGCAGGTTCTTCAGACAACCCTTCAGACTGGTCCCCCTAAATAATATGTTTCATTTGCTGGCACTTTTCTGCTGTCAAAGCAACGATTAAACGTTTGGATAATATTTTTGTCAATCATTCATTCATTCTTTCTTTCTATCTTGTTCTTGTTCTTATTGTTCTCCTTCTATCTCCCTCCTCTTTCTTTTTCTTTTTCTACTCTTTCTTCTTCTTCTATTATTATTACTTCTCATCTTCAGAGTAAATGCAACAGCCTTTCACGAAAAAGAAATCAGTTGTGTATTCCAGCCCCCCCCCCCCCCCATCACCGGATTTACAATCGACTCAAGATAAATGAAACGTACGTGCATGGGTTGTGGCTCTCATATTCTCTAGACAGGACAACTATATCTCATCAGGATCAATACGGCACTTGATCCTGCGGCAATTGCTCCGTGGTGTTTCCGAACACTAACAGAATTTCTTCCAATCCTGGACCCAGCACTAACTCTTAATCTAACCTTAACCCTAAACCCAACCTAACCTAAAGCCAAATTGCAACCCTTAATCGATATACTCTTGATGAAATAAAGTCCGGAGCAATTGTTCTCGTCGGAGCAAAATTGTCAGACCATCTCATTTCGACTTACTTTTACAGTAGTCCACTTTCTTGGGGTTATAGCGGTCGCAGACCTTTGACATGCAGTCACAATCGCCAACGACCTTGTAGATCGTCAGTCCTTCTCCGTAGCAAAGCTGGCCCGTTTTGGCGAAGTTCAGGTACTCCTCCACCAATTCCCGGTTGTAACCCTCAAGGTGCACATTCTCAGCGTAGTCATGCACCTCGTCGATCACCTGACTGTTGCACGAGTGACCACTCTTGGCGACTTCGAGCTGGTAAGGGGCGCACATGGCACGGAGGTGGAAATTTACACCCCTATCCGGATTTAGACCTTGACACAAGAAAAGATAGGGAAAGAAAACACGGTTATTGAATATGGTAATGATAAAAACAGTAATAAGAATAATATTAATCATAATAATAATAATAATAATACTGATAATAATGGTAATACTACTACTACTACTACTACTACTACTACTACTACTACTACTACTACTACTACTACTACTAACACTACTACTACTACTACTACTACTACTACTAAAAAGAATAATAGCAACAATGATTGTAATAATCATAATGAAAATAACAATAATAATAACAATAACTAAAAGAATTACAACAATAATGGTCTAATTTACCAAGGTTAACCTCATCTGTTTTGCAAAATGGCATGAGATATAACTGGGTCAAGACGACGTTAATATGGGTAAAAATGTTTTTTCCAAGAATGATTTTGAAACGTTACTAAGTTTACATTTGTGTCTGCATTAGAAGTAAGTTGATAATTTCATGTTTAAATCCGCGTTAGAAATAAGATTCTCGCCAGGTCCCAGATATAAATCAGTTTTGTCATTTCTCACTACGTTGTAATATTTTTATTTCACAGTATAAGTACATGAGATATTCAATCTTACCCTGTGCTTTAACACCACTGCAGATGGTAGCGATGCTCAGGAATACTTGGAGGATGTATTTGATCTGTCAAATCGGATATTTATTTAAAGAAGAGATTTTTATAAATATTCATGAGGCAGTAACGGATTGAGAAATTTTGAAAGTACAAAGTCTCCAACGGATACAGATGGTACTTTGGTTTACAGGGGAAACCAACCCTTTTTAAATAGCAAACTGCTCTACACAATAGCAGAAGAATCAGAGAAAACGATTGATGAATGTTTGAACGAATGAATTTTTGAAAGTTGTAATAACTATCTACGCATGGGAGATTCAAAATTGCTAAATCTTAAATGCCTTTCTGACGTAGTTCCGGAGGACTTTCCCATTTGTTCTAACACAAACGAATGTCATTTTTTAAAAGAAATATAAGACTCAAGAGGGTTTCTTTCTTTTGGAGGACCTATCATACTGTGTAATCCATGTTATATGTTGAGTAGTGCCAAAAGGGAGAAGGCGTTTAGGAGAAAAACAGAAGTTAATGATAATTCTGTACACCATAAACGCGAGAGTTGTCAGTGACTACATCACAATCCACTGAATAAATTTTGAGATTCGCATAGATTTAGTGATCTCAAATTTCAAACTTTAATACCTCTTTTATCATTAGTTCGATTTATTTTAAACTTTGACCATTCTGTTTCATTTTATTATTCTGTTTTCATACTAATGGACGTATTACAAAGGTTAAAGTGTGCTTTAAAGGGCAGTGAGGGGTGGTGAATCATAAAATAAGGATAATCCTGTGTGACCAGTTAATACCGAACAAGATCGGAAAGATTTTTGGGGAAAAAAAAATTAAAGCCCCACTGTCCTACTTGTAGCTACTTGCTCCCTCTATATAGAAAACTTCCCCAATCGGTGCCTGTTGGTCCCCCATGATCCTCTTTTTCTTATGTTAGTTGAGAGCTAAGTTAATGAGATAGCCACCTGTCAGTGACCCCGCTGTGTGGTCTGATCCCTTCTGGCCCAGTAGTATTGACGGTCTTTAAAGGTCAGTGAGGGGCGGTGAGTCGTCACATTCGGATGCTCCCGGTGTAACCAGTTAATACCGAACAAGATCGGAAAGATTTTTGAAAAAAAAACTAACTTAAAGGTAATTCCAGTTTTGGAAACGCCTCAATTTCTTATTACCAATCATGTGAAACAATATGTTTTGACTAATGCGTGATGATACCAAATTTTGCCAGGAAACCGCCTACTAATTGATGTATTTTTTTAAATTTTTATATCTATCTGGACTGGATAGATATAGGGTAGTCCCATATACATCTTTCCGTGTGCAGTGCTTGTAACTTTAGCTAGACTGGGCCAAATTTCTTATAATTTTGATGCAGGGGCGGATCCAGCCGGCGGCAGGGGAGGGGGCCCAATTCGTGAGAAAATATTTGGGGGCGAAACAGCCGGCCGATAATTCGCATATTGGGGGAGGGGGTGGGGGAGGGGTGTACGTAGTGAGCACTAATTTTTTTTTTTGCTCCCGAAAATTTGAAAATCGTGCCGGCTGATAATTCGCTCAGCCCGCCGCCCTCCCCCCATCCCCCCTGGATCCACCACTGGTGTCCAACAATTTTTCACAAAATAACTAAAATTTCTATTGTGCAAAATGTATGACTCCGGAGAGTCTTTGCATTTTAGAGTACCTAGATAATATGCTTTTCATAATACTCTCATTACCTTAGCCTGCTTATACACTCTTTCAATTCAATGGACTTGAATATCTCTGTACATCAACCTGTAGAACTATAATTACTTTTACCTCGTTTATCTCTTATCTTTTTTTTGAAGAGCACCTAAAAAGATTGTAAAGCAAAGGTGTTTTTAGTAATATTATAATCATGGAGTTTTTATCGTTATGCACACAATCAACAAACTAAGATTACCTGTTTGCGATTCTATTCCATATGGTGTTTTAATTATCATAATAATCAGAAAGGTTTGATTGCCGTGCACTAATCAAGAACCTTAGGTTACCTGTTTACGATTCAATTCCATATGGTGTTTTAATTATTATGATAATCAGAAAGGTTTGATTGTCATGCACAATGTTATAATCAAGAACCTAAGGTTACCTGATTACGATTCTATTCCATATGATGTTTTAATTATTATGATAATCAAAAAGGTTTGATTGTCGTGCACTAATCAAGAACCTAAGGTTACCTGCTTACAAATCTATTCCATATGGTGTTTTAATTATTATGATAATCAGAAAGGTTTGATTGTCATGCACATAATCAAGAACCCAACGTAACCTGTTTACAATTCTACTATTCCAAACGGTATGTTTATTGTAGCTTGTTTTATATGCTAAGGAGTATAATCAATCCATCGGAGTGAAAACATGATTGGAATTAGTACATACAATCCATGATTGTGCAAATCGATATCTGGGGCAGGCAACGTTCGGTCAGATTTTAGCTTTATATTCAAACAACGTTTTGCGTAACTTTTTAAAGTTTTATTAACAAACAAAAAATCTATAGACGCCCTGTATATATTTGAAATGTTGGTTTATTTTGCTGAGAGAATATAAACAAATTGTTGCTGAGACATGTTGAAGAAAAATGGTCTAATGGATAAAGGAATAGATTAAACTTTTCTGCTCATTGTTGAATACAGGGAGGGGAAGTCCACCCTGATATTAAGTTAGCTTAATTAGAAGCAGAACAATAATTTGGGTTTTCTGTTGTACGCAGAAAAAGCAAATTTTGTATTCTTTCATCAATATTCGACTTTAAACGCATTTGTTTTGAAAACCCTCGAGGAATATGTCTTAAATTAGATTCTCTTTCACATTATGATAACATTTGAGTCAAATTTTACCATCAAACTTTTGGGGCTCCCAACGCTTAAGAGGCTCTACAACAGGCGCGGATCCAGGATTTATTAGGGGGGCCCAAATTTGAAATTATGCGACCCAAATATCGGTACGTAATGGTGACCTGCATTGACGTAGTGGGGGGTGCAGGGAGGGGCGATTACCCCCTCCCTCCTCCGCAAGGCGCCGAAGCTTTGACGTTTCATTAAATTATTAGACAAAGAAGACGATTCTCGAAAATAGTGAGCACTAATTTTTTTGGGGGCCCTCGAAAATTTGAAAAATCGCACCCCCCCCCCCCTGAGCGCCAGGGGGGAGGGCGATTCACCAAAAAGGATAAAATTAACGTGTTTTTCCCAGGGTTCCGCCACTGAGTCCAGGGCCCTCAGAAGCTTAAATTATCGTCGGATGAGCATAATTTTATACCTTATTTGTGACACTGGCAGGTCACGAATTGGCGTGGGGTCCAGGGGGCAGAGCCCCCTGAAGCTCAGGGGTTTTGTTAATAAATAACGGCCAGATGAGCATATTCTTTTACCTTATTTGTGACACTGGCAGGACACAAATTGGTGTTGAGTCTAGGAGGCGGAGCCCCAAGAAGCTCAAGGTTTTTATTCATTAAATTATCGTCAGATGAGCATTTTTTTATACCTTATTTGTGACACTGGCAGGTCACGAATTGGCGTGGGGTCCAGGGGGCGGAGCCCCCGGAAGTTCAGGGGTTTGGGGCAATAACTTACTGTCAGATGAGCATATTTTGAAACCTTATTTGTGATACTGGCAGAACACAAATTGGCGTTGGGTCCATGGGGAGGGGCCCTCAGAAGCTCAGGGGTTTATTCATCAATTTATCGTCAGATGAGCATAATTTTATACCTTATTTGTGACACTGGCAGTCCACGAATTGGCGTGGGGTTCAGGGGCGGAGCCCCCCCCCCCCCCAAGCTCAGGGGTTTTGGGCAATAAATTACGGTCAGATGAGCATATTTCATACCTTATTTGTGACACTGGCAGGTCACGAATTGGCGTGGGGTCCAGGAGGCGGAGTCCCCTGAGGCTCAGGGGTGTTAGGCAATGAATTACGGTCAGATGAGCATATTTTATACCTTATTTGTGACACTGGCAGGTCACGAATTGGCGTGGGGTCCAGGAGGCGGAGCCCCCGGAGGCTCAGGGGTGTTAGGCAATAGATTCCGGTCAGATTAGCATATGGGATCTAGGGGGCAGAGCCACCGGAAGTCAAGGGGTTTTAGGCATTTAATTATGGTCAGATGAGCATATTTTGATATCTTTCCCCTTTATTTCCCTTTTTTTTTCTACGGTCAGATGAGCATCCAGGGCCCCGCCTTAGGGCCAATGGTTGGGTTCGGGGGAGGGGCAGAGCCCCCAGAAGCTCAGGGATTTTAGGAATTGTATAACGGTCAGACAAGCATGCAGGGGCCCGTCTTACGGCCCCTGGCGGGGTCGAGGGGGTGGAGCCCCGGAAACTTAGGGGTTTTAGGCATTTAATTACGTTCAGATGAACATATTTTGATACCTTATTTGTGAGACTGGCAGGACACTAATTAGCGCGAGGTCCAGGGGACCGAGACCCAGAAGCTCAGAGGTTTTATGCATTAAATTACCGTCAGATTAGCATCTAGCCGTCCGCCTTATGGCCCTAGGTGGGGTCCAGGGGGCAGTGCCACCGGAAGGGGTTTTAGGCATTTAATTACGGTCAGATGGGCATATTTTGAAACCTTTGATATTTTCCCCTTTTATTTCCTGCTTTTTTCCTTCTTTTTCCCCCTTTTTTTCTTCCCTTCTTTTTTTCCTTCTTTTTTTCCTTCTTTTGTTTCCCTTTTTTTTGCCAGGGGGGGGGGGCGCCCCGGGCACCCCCCCCCCCCCTGGATCCGCCACTGTTTTGATGATTCCAGAACCTTGCAGTACACACCAATACTTATATGCTAGATGATCAACCTTTTCTGCTCGATTCCACAACGTTTCTTTCACAATGCAATCGCATGACCAGAACTGTTCTATACCTTTAAGGTAGTTTAAATAGCCTCGTGCATCACCTTTCGAATGGTGCAAACATCATAATGAAATACAGCACAATCCAAACATAATTCATACAAGACCAAAGTTGATCTATCAAAGCCATTACAAAGAAGTTTTAAAGCTTATCTGCCATAGTTTACAGGAGGGATTAGAGCGCCCTGCAAGGTCACTGGACAGGTGGCTATCTCATCAACTCAGCTCTCAGTTAACATAAGAAAAAGAGGATCATGGGGGACCAATGGTCACCGATTAGGCATTGTTTGTTATATAGAGGGCGCAAGTAGCTACAAGTAGTGCAGTGGGCCTTAAATAAAGGAAAATTAACTTTATAGGGCCTAAAAGTAAAAGTGAATGATAAATCGTGTTTAGATACAAATGGACAAAGAAGGGACTTATTTATGATTATAACAATGTCCCTGACAAAGGATATCAAGCATGAGAAAGAGCGTGATAGATAGAAAGAGAAAGAGAGAGAGAGACAGAGAGAGAAAGAGAGCGGTGGGGAATGCAGGAAGAGAAGGGTAGTGAGGGAGAGGGGGAGAGATAGGGGAGGGTGGGAGGAAGAGGGTTCTATCATACTTGTCATTGGTATAATTGAGAGCCTGTTTGTATGCCCAATTTCGTAGTTGTTATGTAATCATGGAATGTGCAGAACACCTGAATATGGGGCCAAGTCAAAAGTGAATTGTTGCAAATTGCATTGTTATTTTTAAACAGTGAATACGTATGTTTGGAAGATGGATTGCGTTTTGAATGAATAACAAGGCATCAGTTTTGCAACATTTAACTTTTGATTTGGCCCCATAATCAGGTGTACTTCACATTCGGTGATTACAGTATCACTACAAATGGGGCGTCATTGTTGAGGGTAGTAAGCAAAGTTTTTTTTTCTCCCTTTGCCTGTAATGGGGTGTTTATTCAATATTCATCAATAACATAATTTCACAAACAATTTAGCAAAACGATGGAACATCAATAATACACATAATATTTGTACAAATGTAACTAAGCAAATTTGCACGAAAATTCATATTTTGTACTTTCAAATGTTCATTTAGTTTGAGTCTGTGAGTCATTTCTCTCTTAAATAAATATATATCAGATTTTAATCCCTATAATCATACCCATACTAATTACAAAAAAATGATCATGTTACGGATAGGCCTAGAGCAAAATGCAATAGTCATAGTCAAATCGATTTCGGTTAGCGAAGTAATTTTGAGTAAACAAATAACATCTATTGTGTCTATTTCAAGATTCAAAGCATATAAAACTAAGTCCTTTTGGTACTTAAAGAAGGTTTTGTTTGTCGTAAATTGACTCAAAGCATGAACAGCATGTTCAGTTTCTTTGCACTTTAAACAAAGGTCATCGTATAGAAAACCTCACTTGAACAAATTTTTCCGAATCGGTAGCATATCATATAAAAGCTTGAAATCAAAATCATATGAGCGAAATTCATTAATCCCAATCGGATTTCTGTTATCAAATTCAAAAATGATACTATGATCGACGCTCAATCCTGAATTGCAGAACTTTTTGAGAAGATTAGTTTTCTCTTGATTTACTTACCATCGAAGTCATCTTGTAAGAAAATCCACCTTCTGCAATCTCCTGAATAATGTTCTCTAAGCAATTTGATAAACGAAGTCTTCGATGACAAATGAAAATGAAATGTTACTCCTTTATTGCATAAACTGTCTCGGTACTACAGCCAATTAATTATTAAAACACACGGCAACAAAATAAACGGACAATAAACAGATGCTACATTTTCTTGTCAAATGAATTGATGACGTGCTTTCCAACGAGGCCGAATAACACTGTCTGTTGTTTATATTTTGTGTGTCCGGCTTAAATAGCGACGAATTTTGTTGTCCCCCTTTTTGTAGGGATGATTGATATTTTCTAACAATCGCCGTTTGTTTAATTAGTTGCACAATCAAATGTTTACCGGACAGGAATTATATTGGAGTGCCCCCATGGAATGGCTTGCCAATTTTTTTATTTTTTTAGCGCAGTATTTCCCCATTGTCCTTGTCATGAAGCTATTCTTTTAAATGCGATGACCGCTATCGGACTCGTACAATGGGATGAGTCAGCGTCGGTCAGAGTTTCGGGGCGGGGAGGGGGCGCGGATTTCCTTTTTTTAAATCCAAGCAAGGGTAATATCGGTAAAGGGTAGATTTCTATTTTTGGGTTTAATTATTGATGTTTTTCATAATTTCTTTCTTGTTTTTTTTTTTTTTTTACCTATTACATTTTCGTAATTTATTAGGAAAACATATATTTCACCATCATAAGTCAAAGGGAAGGAGTGACTAGAGATTTGCCACTAGATTAATGGAAAAAATTGCAAAAGTGCTATGCATTTATTTCACCATTACAGGATATGAGAGAATATCCATATGGGGAGAATGTGAGAAACATCTTACCTGACGCAAACTCCGTGTTTTACCCAAAATTGTTTTACGTTCCCTTTATACTAGCAGGTAGACTTAATCATGTATATATCGGCTGTATATTGTAATCTCGTCTTGAAATATATCGTAGTCTCCTAATAGTATACTTTTGTAAAAATTACGGATGTATTTTCTTGTGGAGGACTTACTTGACGAGTCCCCTCTGAACTCGCAACAGTTTATCCTTTTCTCCTATCTTGATAATGCCTAACTTGATTATGAATTAAATATGTCATAATTGATAAGATATGATATTTACAATTTTTTTGTTTAAGAATATGATCAGATTGTCTCTCAAAAATATGTTATGTAATGCTTTTTTTGGGGGGGGGGGTTGTACTGTAAATGAACAAAAAGGGGGAAAAGAACAAATGGACGATGGGGCAGTACATATATCTTCACAGTTTCTTTTACAAAAGAGTAATGAAACTAATAAAACGAACAACCTCAAAAAACATTTATCTATTTCAGGGGGCAGCCCTAAAGTGTCCTAAATGTGAGTAATTACGCTGATTGTGTTTCCGTTACGTTAATGAACAATTTCCTTTCAGCTGCGGCATGATACGAGTGTTATCGTAACAATTTTATTTCCAAACAATTTATTGGAATATTATCACCCGCCCGACACCACTACAGTTTTAGTGAACGGTAAACATTTGTAACAACACCCCCCTCCCCCTCCACTAGGTCTCTCTCCCCCCCCCCCCCTCTCTCTCTCTCTCTCTCTCCCTCTCTCTCTTTCTCTCACTCTCTGCCTTTATGTCTCCTTCCCTTTCTATCTGGCTCTTCTTCCTCTCTCTTTTTTTCTCTCTCTTTCTCTTCTCAATGTGTCTCTATCTCTGTCTCGCCTCTAAAGAAATAAAGTTATCACTAAATTTCACCCCCCCCCCCCAGCCATTCATAGTTAGTTTTATCGGTCCTAGTTCCTTTATCATCTGATATTTAAACTAGACTAATAAACATTATGTGCAACTTCAACAGAATATAACAGATCTTTGTTTTTCTTCATACTTTTTCCCTCCACAGGGATTTTATTGATTTTCATTTGCAACAAATTAACAAACATATATTCAAGGTAATTTATATCTATATGAATAAAATTGACCACTCAAGATACAAATATTTGTTTAACTGTCGAATTAACAGAAGATATCTGATATTCATAAACAACAACAAAAGGGGAAAAAACAATGCAAAAGACACATATTATCATTTGATTATTGGACTATATACAATTACTTTGTTGTGACCACTGCTAATGAATTTTTTTTGTGGATTTGTTTTTATTTTTTTTAAATTCAGATAATTATATCATAATTGTTGACCGACTTGGCGACCAACTTCTGAAAGTTGGAGGAGGGTTAATGCCAGCAAAAAAAAAAAAATCAAAGTTCCTTTTTGTTTTTGCGTAGTGAAAACATTGTAATATATTGCCTCTTTAGTTCCACAAGTGTCGAACTCAACACCAACATCGGATTACCCAAAATAACCCTTTTACCGGAAATAGTGATGGCCAGGGCGGAGAACTAATGAGCAATGAAAGAAATTGTTATAGATATGTGGGCTAACTGTATTGGCATAATTATTAGGAAATTTGAATGAGTAATCATTTCTTCGTTCTTTAGAGTCGACAAAGGGTTGTTTTTGGCAAAGGTGCTCTCGGTATTGTTGATATTTATAGCCCTAATCATCATCGCAATATTACAATAATTTAACAGATATATCAAAATGATTGATTGACAGCACAACATATGGTAATTGCTATACAGCTGTTGTAGTTGCCCAAATTAAAAATGCTATTTCCATGAGTACGTATACTTGATAGAGAATAAAGCCACGGATAAGGGAGCAGCACTACCTATAATCAAATTTTGAATTTCGTTCGGTTAAAGCACAAGTAATGTAAATTTCTTGTTAAGTTTGGTATTGGAGAGTTGGGGCGGAGAGGGCGGGTGGGATGGACTGAGATAATTAAACAGGATCTAATCCGCCCCCTATGCCATCTAACGCTACATGTTTAGCGTAGGTCTCCTCTCCCCTCTTTCTCTCTCTCTCTCTCTCTCTCTCTCTCTCTCTCTCTCTCTTTATTTCCCTTCTAAATATAAATATATAGCTATATATCTACACCTCTTCCCCCTCTCTCTCACTCTTTCTGTTTCCCTCCGTCACTGTTTTTTCTTCCTTTCTCTTCCTACCTTCCTACCCCTCTCCCTCTTTCTTTCTTTCTCTCTCAGTCTTGGTCTATGTTTAAATATATCCATCAATCTATCTACCTTCACTTCACCCTCTCTACCTCCCCCTCTCTCTCCTTGTTTATCTATCTATCTACACCTCTTTACCCCTTCTCTCCCCCCTCTCTCTCTCTCTCTCTCTCTCTCTCTTTTTTTTCTCTATTTCTATCTATTCCCCGCCAATGTCTCTTCCCTTTCTCTTCCTATCCTCCTACCCCCCCCCCCCTCTCTCTCTCTCTCTGACTCTCTTTCTCTCCCCACCCCCTTAATGAATAACAACATTCAAAACAACTTTTAAATTCTTATCGTCGTAATCGTTTATTGAAAAATAATAAATAAGTAATATTCAAATTTATCCATTTTCCAAAATTCTCAGTCGTTTTTTTTTACTGGCTTCTTCGCTTTCTTGGGGGCTGCCTGTAAATTTGGTAATGATCAAGTGGTGCATGAGGTCATGAACCTAACACAAATGAGGTCAACTTGAAGGGATAATATGACGAGTATGGAAGTCATACAAAATGCATCAACGAGCTAAAAAAAAAATAACCCAAGGTAAACTCATTTTTTTTCTTCAAACAAGCATGAAACCAAAATAAGTTTTCGAAGTCAAATGAAATGACATGTATTGAGTTTAAAGCAAAAGCTACTTAAAGCTACATTCGTATGTTTGGGGCAAGGATCACCAACAGTTTACAAATCTCCTGTAGCCCTCGGTGTTTTCATAAAAGAACTTACTCAAATTGAAAGTTTGCATCATAATTAGAAACTAAGTATACTGATTGATATTTTATCTATTTCTTTTTCGTAATCATTTTAGAAGACATGTATTTCACCATAATCAGTCAAAAGAGCGGGGTGACCAGAAATGTGGGACTACTGCAATTATAAACTTTAATTCTTTACGATACAAATTAAATACTTCATTTATTATCAGCGCCCAAAGTCGTAATTCGTGTGATATTGGTACTCAATGAGCGATGTAATTATTGTAATCAAGCCTCGACTAAAGCTGTCACGGATATACAGCCTTCTTCCAGGGGAGCTCAGAATACTGAAGGCCTTAATAATCAATTTGGCTCCACAAATAAGGCACCATTTATTATCATATTTTAGACTAATATATTGTAGGTAAAGACATATAAAACAGGTATATTAAATGACCTAATTTGAATGGAAACTACAGAATGCAAAAAAAAACGGCGGTCAATTTGTGCACGAAATTTGTTTTAATAAATTGCATCCCGCGTTGTCCATTTCAAAACTTTAATGCTTACTTTCAGTATTGTCAAAATCGTTCATATTTTTAAAGGCCAAAATGGTCTACATCAGAAATTGATTATAATATGAACCTTTCTTCTATTTCTGCTCATTTATTCATAGCATTATGAACCAAAATCATGGCAAGAAAATAGTCATAGTTTTGAGTAAAACAAAAATATGCTGCCAATTTTTTTTGTTGAAATTAGATTAAAAAAATCCAGCGCCAGGACAAACACCACCTCCCCACCTGACTATATCGCATTCCGAAAAAACGTACTGCAAATTGATATAACCATGGACCTACTACGACTCACTCTTTTTCCTAGGAAGTGGGTCATTCCTATTCGAGTCCGGGGTGCAGTTTATCCGAGTGTTTGTTGTCCCATAGGCTGTCCGTTAGAAAGCTGTCCGCGGACTGAGCTGGCGTAACGCCTTGCATTCTGACACGTATTTGCAGTCTTGGTAATGTGAATTCTTTGGTGCAATACTTATGACTGAAATGTCGTACATGTTTAAAATTTAGAGTGATAATGAAAGTAATAAATATATATCAGTTCGTATAGTTAAGCTATTACACAAATATACCCTGCTGCAATGACAACACACTGCTAATTGAGAGACACACAATAACAATATATTCAAAAGCTACTAAAAACAGGTACGTATTCCTAAAAACTTTGAGGACAGCAACAGATAAGGTTTATTTTATGTCTAGTGGTAGGTTATTCCAAATCTTTAGAACGGCGCAACTGGAAGCGCATTCATGGACATTGGAATTTATTTTTGAAGTAAGATACAAAAACCGATATTTTCAATTCCAGTTCAATTTAATTCAAATGGTACATGAAAGCAGGGACATGCATGTCCCTGATGAAAGTGAGCAATTTTATTTGAGTGCGGTAACAATAAATTAGAGGAAGATGAAAGTGAGTTATGCCTATGCATCAGCAGTTAGGAGTAAAATGAGATGATGGCGAAAACATTGACGATGGCGACGACAATGATGATCCTGATCAATGATTATGATGACGCAGATGATAATGCGGATGATGATGATGATGACGACTCCGCTGACGACGTCGACGATAATGACGGTGATTATGGGTGATGAAGATGACACAATAAATGATGACGATGATGACGATAATGTGGATGATGATGGACGCCAACGATGATAATATAGATGACGATGACTTCGATGCTCTTGATGATGATGACGATGCTAAGGGATGTTTTTTTACTTCGAAAATCGATGTTGATGCGAGGTAGCTACATGTAGATCTATGTAGTGGCGGGGCGGACGGTGTTAGGGGCGGCATTCGGTGGATTGGCGGGGGCTGCAGGTGGGAGATCTGTAAACAGAATAATAACAGTGAAAGTGATAATTATGTTGAGTAAAATGACAGGGGTTTTCCAGAATGTAACTTTAGGGCAATTTCTATACCCGATTGCGTTTCGGTTATAAATCAAGAGATCCCCCCCCCCTCCCCCCCCCCCAAAAAAAAAAAAAATTGCTTCGTCTGTTAAAACGATGTTCGGCGGGAACCATACGTTCAGATCATGAAATTGAAGGCCCACTTATGTGTTTCCCTGGCCTTCGTGTTTCGTGCCCATCAGCGAAGCTACTCCATTATATAAATTAATTCTCTTTGCGTGTGCTTACCTAAAAAGGGGTGTTGACAAAGTAACATTATTATTATACAGCCTCATCGTATTTATTGCTATGTTAGAGGTCATTGTGTGTTTGTAGACGGAGCAATTAGCGACCCAATCGAATGACGGCGGAGAGAGAGAAGAAGAAAAAAAAAGATCTAAGAGATATACGTGTACATATATCGGGACATATATATTTATATATGATACGACCTTCGCGTGACGCTTGTGCTTCCGTCAATGGTTTGACGCACGCTTTGCCGCACTTGCTAGTACTATACCTCTGCATTTGATGATGTTGTTACCGAAGGAACACACGCTATCCATCAGCTCGCATTCACTCCTGATGGACATGCCGCTGACGTAACAAAGGGAATTCAATTTTGACTGCTTGAGATACTCCAGGACGTTGTCCTCGATGGTGTCAGCGTCGACGTTCTTCATCGTAGGCTGAACGTTGTCGAGTTCGTCGATGAATTCCTCAATGACGCCGTGGCTGCACTTAGGACCCTCCTCCTTGAGTAATTCCCTGTAGACGGTGCATGTTTGTCCAATCATCTGAGTAATCTGCGATTGAGGTGTCACTGAATAAAAAAGGGGTGGACGGAGAGAAGTAATTTCAGTGAGGGATGGAAAGTGTCTATTTATGTGCTGTACGATAATGGTCAGTTTAAAGCCCCTCTGCACTAGTTTGGGCAGGAGGGATTAGACCTGCATGGTCACTGACAGGTGGTTATCTAATCAAATCAGCTCTCAATTCATGAATTAACATGAAAAAAGGGGACAATGGGGGGGGGGGTGGCCAATGGTCACCGATTAGGCATTGCTTGCTATATAGAGGGCGCAAGTAGCTATAAGTAGTGCAATGGGGCTTTAATGCAGCAGCTTTTAATGAACAAACAGACAAAAAATACCCCCAAAAGGATGAAATATTTCGACAAAAAAGATTAACTTTCAACAACAACAAAATCAGGAGACAACTATCGTGTTTTGTAAAGAGATGCAATTATGTGCTAAGGAAATCAAAGGACTTCTTAAAATAATACTATAGTACAAACTTATCTATATGTATGATCATTTCTTGTAACCTTTTGAAGGGGGAATCGGGTAGGTTTTACAACAACGGAAACGGTTTCATTTTTATGTGTAAATATTGCATATCACTCTTCATTCTGCCTGAATAAGGCAGGCCAACCCTTATCGAAACTACACTGTTGCCAATAAAGTGCGAATAAATTCAACCCCTTTTTTTCATGAAGTGATTGTGAGGATATGTTTTATTTCTTGCATCTTCTCTGAACTTTTTTGACCAATCTAAAGAATCATAGAGAGAGAGATCAATAAAGTTCTGAGAAATTATAAACTTTATTTTATCAAGAATAAATCATAGTGTCACAATCGTTCAATGAAAAGAGGTAAGAAAATGATATTCCAACTTTATCGTCAACAGTGTACTAATCAGGAATGGAAGCTGCACAAACCCCGCCCTAACCAGACCTTGTCGAAGATTAGCCTTCTGCTACACAAGTTATAGATTTTCTTCTTCAAAAAGTTGCCTCCGAATTTTATTCAATTTGAGCACAAGCCTTTTCTCATCATATTCAGAATACATGTTGGTATTAGGAAATATAGTCCTTTTTAGGGGAATTTCCAATGTGATATTCTTCAAAAATTTATATAAAATAGACTAAAAATGAGAGAGCTCAAATCCTTTTTCACCTTCACAGAACCACTTTCTTCTCTTTTTAAGAAAAAAATAATCGGCCCAAATGTTCAGCCTTTTCTCGTCATTAGAATACTGACATGTTGGTATAATTAAAATAATAATCCCTATTAGGGGGATTTATAATGTGATATAAGTCAAAACAAATATATAAGACTAACAATGAGAAAGGTCACATGTTAATTTTCTTTCACCTTTACCAAACATCAACTTTCTCTTTAAAAGTAAAATCATGGGATCACACTTACGTTGTCCGTAGACGCCGGTTATTGCCATTACGGCCAAGGTGATGAAAACTGTGAGTTGAGTCTGTAAATTCAATCAAACAAAATTTAGATTAGATTCGTTTCGTTTAAACCTTAGCTTCATCATAGGTATGCTAACGAGGATAGTGTCAGAGTGACTTTGTCAATCTATAAATCAAATGTTAAAGCCCCTCTGCACTAGTTTGGCCAGGAGGGATTAGACATCCCTGCATGGTCACTGACAATTGGTTATCTCATCAAATTAATCCGCTCTCAATTAACATAAGAAAATGGGGACCATGGGAGACCAATGGTCACCGATTATTCATAGTTTGCTATATAGTGAGGGCAATTAGCTGTAAGTAGTGCAGTTGGGCTTTAAATCAACATTCACACGGGCTGCGAGGAGTAAAAGAAACATTTTCAAAAGTTTAGATTGACACTTTTGGCGTGCTGGATCCAATTTCATCAAGATTGAAGCGAGCATGTAAACAGTGTTTGTTGCCATTTTGAAAATGCTGTCACTCGTCGATCGGTCCTTGTAAATGCAGAAGTTTAGATTATTTACGTTTTTTGCTTTTAGACTATCATGAACTAAATGTGGTTGAAAATTAAGGTATCGCTCAATCTTTTAGGGTCTAATTGCAGAAGTGAGCAAGTATATTTCCTCATTATGCACCACTACACCATAGTGGCCCGAAGTCACAAAGGAGGTTTGTCGACAAACAGAGGTTTATGTACGTCATAATAAAATATTATGACGCGCTTTGACGCGTTTTTTTTACAAACCTGGTTTGTAAAAACGCGTCGAAACGCGTCATATGACGCACGAAAACCAAGGTTTGTCGACAAACCTCCTTTGTGAATTCGGGCCAGTGAAGCTGTAAGCCAGGGTCTGCTCGTGTATTTACAAGATACATGCACGTATACAAACAACAACAAAATTAATTTGGCCTATGCATCATGGAAAGAACTAAGACCGTAGTCAAATCAATCTGACTGATACCAGGAGGGTGTTTCACAAAGATCCTAATTTGAACTTATCTCTAAGTTGGACTTAACAATTATGGAAAGCCGTTAGCGTCTATGAACATATTTTGTAAAGGTTATTTTAAAAGGCACAAAATGTTGAGTCAAAACATTAATATTTTCTATTATCAAGGAGATTGCATGTTCTTGATGTGGAATTTATAAAAAGTCTAAAATACTTGAATTTTCACTTTTGAATATTTTATTTTAAGGCTACAAATGGCTTTCCATACCTTTTAAGTCCTACTTAGAGTTAAGTTAGACTTAGGCTCTTTGTGAAACACCCCCCAGACCGAATGGAACTACACTATTAGTTATTACCTTGCATAGCTAAAATCGACCGGTCTGTACTCGGTGGGGAGCCAATTAATACATGTAAAAGAAGTTTTAACAAGTTTAACAATCAAACGAAATGCTGAACTAAAATAACTTTCGGATAGAAAAACAGTGAAAGGAAAGGAGAAAAGTTATTATTGGTTGACTTACCGAAGTGGCCATTTTGGAAGATGTGTAGTTAGTCGATGAAGCTCGAATAAGAAAACTCAAAATCTGCTCTTGATGCATATCAGGAATCGAATGAAACTGTCACAAATATTTCCTCTATTTATACTCTCAAAATGCCTCAAATCTTGCCATGATTGAGACTTTATTGAACAATCTATTTTCTAGGAGATCTTAAAGATATCGCGGGGATGAATAACCGCGACCACATCATTGTTTTCTTTTTCTTTCAACGACCGGAGAAAGCTAGCGCAATGCCAATTCCGTATTGTAAATCGTGAAACACATTCCAAGGCCAAGTCGTCTCATTCTTTGATATTCACAGAATGCAACCATTCAATAATTGTAGAAACAGATACATTATTTAATTCTATGTATCATCGACCTTCACAGTTCTATTGTGCATAATTTATTATCTTGAAACAGACTCTTAATGATAACGATGTGAATGCACTCGGCAAGGTACCTCAAACTCGCATTGCATTGCCAGGAATTGTATAATAAATACATGAGGCCCTTTGTTTTTCTTTCCTGGCTAAACTTCAAGTGACTTGAACAATACAAAAAATAGGCACATCTGTTCGCTTCTCAGGAAAATAGGAATTACTGCAATGTTGATTATTTCTTTTAACAATTTAAATTATTCTGATCGTAAGGAGGAATCACTGTTGTGTTTTTTTTTGTTACAGGCCATTGGCTTATTAATGCCTGGGACAATTTTATTACACATTGTATCTTTGTATTTTATGAATTTAATAGATTAATGGAATTGAAAGAATGCATGATATTTTCAAAAAATCTTCTTTCCTCGTGTGAGTCTCCGTTTTACATATAATAGTTTTTGTAATTTGTCTTTTTTTTGTATAGAAGTCGAAGTACTTATTTTGCATAGCATAGAAGTTCAAGCTGACATTTATTTCATTCATTATCATAATGCCAAAAAAATATTTACACAATTTAAAATCACAAAATAATAATACACGGAAGAGGAGACAGTTTACAAATAAAAAAAAAAACTTTATTGGTTCTGCCACCATAATTAAAACATGAAATACAATTTATACAATGAGTATACAGAGAAACAAAACAGAACGAGAAAACAATGATGAAATAAAATACTGAGAGAAAAGTCTGGTTATAAATAGATTAAATTGAAATTCAATTCAATATTAGTGATTTTGATCACCTTTTGAAGACATTTAGTGAAGGGACTGCATTGTATATTTAAACTTTGGGCCCTTCGTAAAATCAATTATAGTTGTTAGCTGCATTAGTTCTACTCAACGGTAACTGAAAGTAATAGGAACTAAGTGTGACAGACATATTTATCGGGTAGGCTAACAAACTCACCGTACGCGTGTGTGTGAAAATCATAGAGGTGTTAGTAAGCAAATAATTACCGTTGGTGAAGGTAATGGGACAAACTATCACTTCCGAGGCGATCTGGGTGTAGCGATCTGTCCGAAGCGAAGCTGAGGAAAGATAGCGTATATATTCTGATCGACGAGGAAGTGATAGCGTGCCATCGCCTGAAACCAAAAGGTGATTATTTGCTTTATATTCCACATCTAAAACAATTTAACTACAAAAAGAAAAGGACGTGTATGCATCTAAATGAAAGACACCTAGGCCCAAATTCACACCAAAAAAGTTTAAATTTAACCCAACCCCATGAGAGTACGATGCGCGCATGTGTTTTCTTTAACTGCGCTCATTGGGAATGCACGCTTAATTACGTCTATTTTAGTGCGCTTTTGGATAATCTTCAGTGAAAGTGCGTTGCCCTGTGTTGATAGTACCTCTATCTTCAGTGAAAGTGCGTTACACTGTGTTAATAGTAGTACTATCTGCACAGTGTAACGAACTTTTTGCTTCTCCCATCAATTATGGGCGAACTATCTTTCATCACGTGATTTACTTTTGACCAATCGTAGAGCAAGATTCTTAGTATGTGGGATATAATAGTATATAGCTCTATGGTAAAAATAAATGTCAAGTGTCAACTTTTAGGAATAGTGCCATCATCAGTTGAACCTTGGTACATGTGCAAATTGTTTTGTTTACGAAATTTGATTTTGATCTCCACCACACCAATGTCTGCCTCCCTCTACTTACTTGCTGAGATGAAGATTAATTATTAGCAGGGGCGGCGATTTCTTTTCATGACCGGTGGGGGGGGGGGGGGTGGCGAAATGCGAGGGACGAGGGAGCAGTGGCGTTATGAGCAAAAACGTGTTTTTTTTGGGGGGGGGGGCAGAAAAAAATCCGCATCACCACCACTCTTATGGCCCGGTCCCACTGGCCGATGGACACAACACGTATGCATAAAGGACACAGCGGACGAGCAAAATTTCGCGGGTGGCTCCATCCGTTTTCATCCGCTCCAGAAATGGACAAAATTGGCGAAAATTGGCGAAAACAGAACGGAAAATAACGAACGTGGGTAGTATGACGCGGGGATGTTAAACGGATGTTCATCGGAAGCCTAGCGGATGAAAGCGGATGGAAGTGGATGACAGCTTTGAATACTTTATATACGAGATGCATACGCTAACATCCTTTCTATTTCCGTGCTACTAACGATGTATAGACGTTCCGTGTACCTTATCTTTCCTCCCTCTTTCCGTTTTCAGCTGCAGCGGATGTGAGTTGCAAGGATGCCCAGAAGATGCAAAGAGGATACAGCGGACGTTTAACGGATGATAACGGACATAGAACGTTTGTTGCCCGTATTTGTCGCGGATTTACATCGTACACGGCGGAAGATCATCCGTTCTAAAAGTTTTGTGCAGCTCAAAACTTTTTGCGCGGATGAAATCACAGTGGACGGATGCTCGATGGATAGAGCGTATGAAACACGTATGCAATGAGTACACAACGGATGCATAGCGTTTTCCAACGGATGGCAAGATTTTGTTACGCTTTACATCCTCTTTGCATCCGTAAGTGCAGTGGGACCGGGCCTTTACATGTTACGCAGGCCCTGGGACCGTTTTTCAAAGGGGGCTAAAGTATTTACGATCAGGTAGAGCAAAGCAAAGCAAAGTTGAGCGTAAATTGGCGTGGGGTCCAGGAGGAAAGCCCCGGCGGGTGTCAAGGGGCGGAGCCTCATGAAGCTCAGGGGTTTTATGCATTTAATTACGATCACATGAGCATATTTTTATACCTTATTTGTGACACTGGCATGCGGGTCACTTATTGGAGTGGGTCCAGGGAGCGGAGCCCCCAGAAGCTCAGGGGTTTTAGGCATTAAATTACGATCAGATGAGCATCCAGGGGCTGCCTTAGGGACCTTGGTGCAGGGTCCAGGGGGCAGAGCCCTCGGAAGCTCAGGGTAAAATCATGCCATTTCAACAACATTTGTAAATCACTTGTATCGAATTAGAAATAAACCACGTTCGCATTTTATTTTTGGGTGAGCTGCCCCCAAAGCCCCCCCCCCCCCCAATCAGTACGCAAGTGTGAGGTATAGCATAGTGAATGAGAGGGGTGAAGGTGGCGGAAGTGCCTACCCCTCACATGTTTTTGAAGTTTTGTTGTATTAAAAAATTACGTTCCTTAGCAAAACTATAGTATAATAACAAGCAATATCATTTTCTCACACTTCAATATTCTTGGTATTCACTTGTAAATTTTGAAGGATATTATTTAAGCGAGGGAGCGTATAGCTACCGAGCGAGAAGACTTTTGCATTTTTATTTGTGTAAACGCTGCACTCTTTGGGTCCTCCAGAGCCTGAAAGTGTGTAGCAGTCTTTAGTCAGTATTTGCTATACATTTGTTTTGTGTGCACTTTTTCAAATTTTGAGGGGGGGGGGGGGACAACCCCCCCCCTAACAAAAATTGAGGGGGACGTGTCCCCCCGTCCCCCGGGATCTCCGCCTCTGATTATTAGAAAAGAAAAGGAGCAGGTGTCAAAGTAAATAGGGCAATTATCAGAGGGTAAAAAGGGGGCAATTCTCGCACCTGAAAAGGGGCACTTACCAGAGATTAAAAAAGGCAATTATACGAATGGAAAAGGGCCATTTGTCGGAGGTGAAGGGGCACCTATCATATTTTAAAAGGGGCTTTTACGAAAAGGGGAAGGCTATCTTAATAAGATGAAAAAAGGTTATTCTTTCCAGAAAGGAAAAAGGGCACTCAAGCGATATGAAAATGGGCACTTGTTGAAGAAACTGGGCTACTTTCATATTTTATTAGGGGCACTTTTCAAAAGGAATAGGGGCATGTGTCAAAATTAAGGGGCACTTATCATAGATGAAAAGGGGACTTGTCTAAAGGGGAAGGGGCACTTCTTACTGAAATGGGCACTTTTCATATGTAAAAGGGGCAACTTTGGGGTATTTTAAAATATGGGGCACTGTGTCCTTCCCCCTCCCGGGAGCGTCGCCTCTGCATTTCATCATTTTTCATTATGTATCAACTTAATATAGACGATTTGCCAAGTGTTTTCACTAAATATTAAATATGTTTTTTTTTAATGGTGACATTCATTCTCATCCCACCAGGCAATCACTCGATTTTCATCTATCCCCTGTACGCACCGTTCTTGCCTTTAAATGCACACTGTCCTACTTTTAGCTACTTGCTCCCTCTATATAGAAAACTTCCCCAATCGGTGACCATTGGTCCCCCATGATCCTCTTTTTCTTATGTTAACTAAGAGCTGAGTTGATGATTAACCACCTGTCCAGTGACCTTGCAGGGCGGTCTAATCCCTCCTGTAAACTAGTACTGATAAGCGTTAAAACAATAACCAATAAACAGGACCTTCATTTTGGAACAGATAATTTAAAGGTAATACAAAGTTTTGGGAAATTTTGAAAATTGGGTGGATAGTGAATCTTTACAATTTTGATACATTTGGATGCCCCTGTCATGTTTTATAAGCACTAACAAAATTAGCACCTAAAACACTTCTGTTTTCAAGAAAAATTGAATATAAAAATTTACCGGTGCTCCCGGTAAATTTTCGGGTGTTTTTCGGGGAAATTTTGGAAATTTTGAACAAAACAGACCCATGTATGGTATTTTTATTAATGGGACCGATGATAGGGATTTTTGTGAAAAATTGACCCAATAGAGCGGCACGTACACCCCCGAGTTTGTCTTAATAATATGTGAGTACCCTCCCCGAATAATATCCTTCAAAACGTAAAAATAAATATTGTAGAAAACGTGTAATCCGTTGGTATCATAGTGATACCAGCGGAATACAGATTTCCCCTGCCATTTCGCCACCCCTGCCTGTCATAACCAAATCTGATTAGCCTACCCCCCCCCCCCCCCCAATGTAGGAAAGTTAAATGAGAAACTTTGATTGAGGAGTAACTACCCAAAATGGCAAGCTTGACTCTGCTATCAATACAGGGCCTATATGTTTTGTCTATATAAGCCAACATATTAAATATTGAAAAAATGTAGGGTTCTTAAATCACGGGAAGATGTTAAAGTTAGGACTAGATCTACGGGGTAACTAAATTTTCAGACGCTCGATCTGGAAAAACACACTCAGAACAGCTGACGGAATAGAACAGAATAAAACAAACCAAACCAAAACAAAGCCAGCAAAGCGAAACTAACAAATTAAATCAAGACGAACAAAACGGGAAAAAAACAAAAAAACAAAACAAAAACAGCAGAGGAGAAAAGGCCCGAGAAAAATAAGAAAAGAAAATGAGAGCAAGTAAAACATTAAAAAAAATATTAAAAAAAAAAAAAATTAATAGGGTCTAGATCTATGCAAATTAAAAAACTTTATACAAAAAATGAAAAGATTACGCGGATTAAACTACAAAATGAAAGGGCGAAATAGAATGATACCGGAAATAGAAATATCAAGAAATAAAGGCCTAAATCAATAAATAGATTGAAGGGGGGAGGGGTAACTTTATTTATCTCTTTCCTTATTTTATATTTTATTCCTATTCTTTCAAACAAATTCCAATCCAGGTGGCCTGGTTCTACGCTGAACGCAGGCTAGGCTAGGCCAGCGCACACGGGCGGCGGGTCCTTTCCGTACGGTTTACGTACCGCAGAATTAAATAATTATGTGTCGCGTAGGCTAGGCGCGCGTACACATGCTATAGATCTAGGCTATTTTTATGGAATGGCAATCGATATCCTCCTACGTTACTCAAGCTCCATGTCTTGAATTATTGATGAGGAATTCTTGAGCTAAACCGTCACAAAAGGACATTGGATTAATGCTGGCCATTCTACAATAATATTGTCCGTCGATTTATCAGGGATAATTGCTTGAAATATCTGGAAAACTGGGCATTGCAGTGGCATTGCCGGTTGTGGATTTTCAGGGAGAGTGGTCCATGCACGCACGGCATTGCATGCCTTCGTTGTGATTAGAAATTCGACGCCATAATAATACAGGCCGAATGCACTGCTTTGGAAGGTTTTGCTGTGTACAACAGAAGGCGACGCCACGACATCCGCAGTGCATGCACACAATCTACATGTAGCCGCCAGCTTGCTGCCGACTGCAAATGGTAAAGCATTATCAATCATCCCATGTAACTAAAGCTACATTTAGTATAGTTAACTGTTGGTAGTAGGCCACCATCATGTAGGCCTAGGCCTAGTTACATGATGTAGATCTAGACTAGATCTTGTTAAACTTAAAGTCCATCTTCAATATTGGCATCAAATTGGTTCAATGTTCTGTGAAAAAAAGAAAAATGAAGGAGAAAAACAGGGCCTATTAATTATGAAAGTGTTCAACTTCTTTGTGTTTGTGTGTGTGTGTGTTTAAAAAAAAAAGGTTGTTGTATTTAATTTGGGTGAGGAGTCTTGAGGACTGGATCTATTAATTATAAAAGCAATGTTTGTGTTCATGCTGTGTTTTTTTTGTTCTTTTTTTCTCTAGATTCTAAGAAGACTAGTCTAGAGTTCATTTTGTCCATTTGGAAGTAGGCTAGTCTAGAGTAGACCCTACTCTAGTCTATGTCTTTATAAGTTTGTGTAGAATATGAAAAATCATGAATCAAATATCACATTCCTTTTTTGTTTTTGGGGTATTGTGCGCGTATTTTTAGTATGGACAACCCATCTTGACTTATAACCCAAACAAAATAATTTCTGATTTACGCGCTAACATTGTGACAGTATAGACAACTATCACTGTTGGAAGTAGACCGAAAGTTTCAGTCTCTATACCGTCAGTTGTTCCACTGAGACTACGTCTGGCTCCACTAGACCTCCGGTTATAGAGACAGAACGATCGCCTATGCCTGTGATAACGCCATTACGAACGTGTAGATGGCGCACAGTTTTTCCTTCATAATCATTTTGCCTTCGGCGTAGACTAGAAGGGATGAGATTGACGACAGCGAGAGTTTAACACGGCTTGCAAGATTTTCAACATGGATGTCGATTTTGACCCATAATTTCCTTAAAAGGGACCATTAAACGGATTATTTCAATCAAGTTTAGTAAGTGGAACCGATGTATTATAGCCTAGGCTTATGTAAAATTGGATATGCACGAGGTAAAATGACATTTTGGGGGATTTTGGGGGCATAACAATACGGCCGTGGCAAGTTTGTTCATGTTTGTGGGAGGGGCCTAACGGCTAAAATCTAGCCGTGATATCTTCAACATAGGCTGGCATAGGCGATCGTTCAGTCTCTATAACCGGAGGTCTAGTGGAGCCAGACGTAGTCTCAGTGGAACAACCGACGGTATAGAGACTGAAGCTTTCGGTCTATGTTGGAAGATGATCCAACAGTACATGTACATGTATAAACCTTGAGGATTTTTACATCTTGAAATTCGCAAACATGGACACGGACACTTTCAAACTCTTGTACTGTACATACTGTAGGCCTTTTAAGGTCTGTCTTGGAGTACGGACAAGCTGCATGGTCACCATACAGGATACTTGAACAGAAGAGACTTGAAAGTGTCCAACGAAGAGCTACAGAGATGGTACCTACATGTAGTTTGAAGAATCTACTATACGAAACACGTCTGAGATACATGTACCTGAAGCTACCGTCTCTTGCCCATCGCAGGAAGAGAGGAGATATGATGGACGTTTACAAGTATCTCCATGGCCTATACTGCACCACTCAGACAGACCTACTTTACACGAGGCCATACCCTGAAACTAGAGAAGAAATTTTCACCTCTCGACATCAGGAAATTCTTTTTCACGAATAGATCAGTGGACGCATGGAATAGCCTATCTGAAGAGTTATGCCCCATCTGTAAATGCCTTCAAAAACAAACTCAATAACTCTTGGAAGAAATCACCTTCAGTATATGACCTTGAAAGTAAAAAGAAGAATGCAGAACTATTCCATTCTCCACACACACACCTCGACACAAAACCACAACATACAGAAGTATTGATGCAAATATAACCCTTATTATCAACGTAATAATGCTGTGATTGTCACAATGGGCTCATAAGCTGATGCTTCAAGCCTCAAAAACAAGTAAACAAGTAAACAAGTAAGGATTTCAATCGATTGATGAACAGGCTCTGTCCCCAACATTGATGGATTAAAGTAAAGTAAGTAAAGTATACTATCAAACTTCTTTTTGTCTTGTTGAACATTTGGGCTGTAATGTATCACAATAATCTACATGTAACAAAGAGTAGGGTAAGTTATTATTACTCTGGTCATACATTGTACAGTTTAAATGTACATGTACATGTACATGTAAGTGGTGCATAGCGTATAAAAAACATTGAGGATTTTTACATCTTGAAATAGAGAGCGAGTATGAGCCCGCCAAGGCCACCAGTAACTACAGTACCGGTACATGTAAATTTGATGGCACGCACTGCCATATTGTGGTATAAAATTGACAATTTAAGATGTACATGTACATGTACATGTACATTATACATGTACCCCCCCCCCCCCCCCAAACCTGGATTTCATGTGGTTGCAGGTCCATGAATGCCTTATAATAAAACTAATATTTTGGGACAAAATGTTGCAACCAGAATAGAATGCCTACTTGTATACATTGTACATGTACATATATTGAATTTGAATTTGTATATTTTTGAACGCAGAAATAAAATTAATCAAACAAACATGAATTAATGTTTCGAATATGACTGTGCCAACTTGGATGTTTATCAGTTGTTATACCTACCATACATGAACATGTACAAAGATTGCTTCATCAACCTCTTCATTTCCTCTCCTGCTGTTTCCAGTTTTCAAGATAATCTTTAAAACAAAAAAAATCTTCTGCCAATTAACATGAATTTTGTTTTCATTGAGTTTGCAGTATTAGCCTATTTGCACCATTAGTGCATCATTCATGTATTTTCATGATTACATTCACTTCATTGACACCTATACTGTATGTATTTCCTCTAGATTTGCTTGAAAGTCATCAGGGAATAATCTGAAATTGAAATTATCATATACAGATGGTTGATAATTTATGTCAGTTTGAACAATGTCGGTCTTAAAACTGAACCTTGAGGAACACCACATCTGATTTTCATTTTCATTATTAGTAACCAGGCTAATATAAACACTATGCCATTTCCTTTCCTTTTTGCTTTTTATTCTAAATATCACCATACATGTATGATGGGATAGCAGTACAATGTAGTAAGCAAACCAACCACTTGTTTAGGTGCATATGGAACAAGTTCAACTACATTTGAGTGGTTACACGATTTGAAGTTTTAAACATTCCTTGAATCAATCAATCATAACAATCAATCGGCAGTATACAAACATACATGTACATGTAGTTGTGGCATTTATTGTGGAATGCTTTCATTGAAATATCTGATGCAAAGAAAAATTGGTGAATGGCTGGGTATGTTATTTATTTATTTATTTTTTTTACTTGTGACTCTGTAAATTTCTTGTGACTTTTGTAGTTTCAATTTGTTTGTTTTTCATTTTTTATGTTAATTTTGTCACTTTTGTCACTTTTGTCGTTATGTACATGTACATTGGAGATGAACCTGTCCACATATTACATTCATACTAAGGTGAAGGAGTAACTCCATACAGTACATTAATGTATGTATCATACAGCTACATGTACATGACATGTAGGTTGGCATGCACTGTGAAGACACTAAAAATAACCTGCATTGAAAGTCCCTCAGACCGAGAGCGAAATGAAGGCAACATCCCCCCTGCAGCCAAAATGGGCGCTGCCCTGGACTGCATCATGATTATCATCCACTTCACTCTTCTCTCCCTCTCCGAGCCTGCATGCCTAATTAATGAGATGATGCAGGCTTCGCTAAATTGCTCCCTGCATAATGCATACACAGCCCTAGCTCCGCACATATCTCTGCGCTGTGTGTGCTACATGTAGCTTGCATTGCGATAGAAGTGTAAAGTGTATTCCCACGCCTAGGGCAGCTCGCAGGGAAAGTGTATGCGATTCCGTACTGCTCGTACACATACGAACGTGAAAGACGTGCCGTGCTATGGATGCTACACGTACGAAGTCCAGCAAACGAGATTACAGCTTGCTATGACGAAGGCATTGTAATAATAGGGGTGGATGTCATTTTGTACACCCAATACACACTTACGACGGAGGCTTGTGATAGAAATACACTCTTTTTCTTTTCTTCAGCTGTGTGTATAGCGCTATATTCTTATGCTTCGTATTGAACATACTGTACGCAATTACAGAGGTGCATTGCAGTGTTTATTTGGTTGAAATGTTGGAAGATCAGCACAGGTAGGGAGATGGTTTCTATCTATGATTCAGAGAGACCATTTTATCAATATTACTGGCTTCTTATCAGGAGTCAGCTGTGTCATGTATGATGTTATATGATCAGTTTGGTGATTCCTAGCTTGGCTTTCATTTAAACTCCATTGGAATCTGTAATTGGAGATACATGTACATTGTACATGTACGTGTATGTATTGTCTTGGCACTAAGCTACATGTACATGTACATGTAGGATTAGAATGCTAGAATGCTGGAATGCAAGAAGTATTAGAAAAAATGTGTGCTGGAATTGGAATTGTTTTGATTGACTTGAGATACTGTACATCAAGTAAAGATTATTCAGTGCATACTGTACATGCTGTACATGTATAATACATACAGCATATCAGCATGATGCCATACTGTTACAATCAATAGTCTATAAAGGGATCAACCGCGTTTACATCACTAACTGCACCATTGTTCCTACACAAGTTTTATAAATGGAAGCTTCATGTGCAAGTGACAGGCTCTTTAAAAGGGGATATTGTGACAGTATGGTGTACAATCAGCTCAGCTGTTTCGGGGAGCTCGGTTATTATGTATTTAATTGATTCGCTCTCATTAAACGTCTGTTAACTGTTCAAGTGCGTATTAATATGCAACCCATTTCTTTATCTGTTAGTGGATTGCATAAATGTAGCCATACAGTGAGAACTGTAAAACCAGAAAAATTTCATGCACCCGAAAGTTCACAGTACATGTTTAATGCATTTGTAAACCAACATTTCTTTATACTTTGCAGAAAATTTTCATTGGTTGGGGTAATCATGACATACAACATTTTACAAAGGTATTTTATTCTTCCACCAACCTTAAAAGGATTGGGTAACTTTGTCTCAGATCCTGAAACAAAATCCTGCAATGATAATTATAGTCAGTCAGGAACTCCATGACTTTTACAAGCCGATCTTCTGTCTGATTATCAAGATATTTATGATTGAAAATCGAAACAGTTTTGTGTTTTCTAGTGCTGTAGTCAAACGTTCAACAGTCCGGTATCCGACCGCCCATGGCGGATTCCGTTTTCAATAGGACGGTTTCGTTTTCCCTTTTTTTAAATTTTTTTTTTTTTAAATCGTTTGACCGAAAACCGTCCGGTTTTTACTGGCGGTTAAACGGAATTGGAGATATCCGTGATGTTACAGCACTAGTGTTTTCCTAACGGGTTTCATAACACTACAATCTATTGGGGAAAACGAGTATGGTAAAACCGGTCACTCAAAGATTTTTACTTTTTTGAGGCACTGCTTGATCATTTTGAATAGCAATTTGTTCAGGGCTTCAATATTACACCATGTCACAGACACTGATAACACGTAGGGGCGTACATCTCAGATTTAATATTGTTAAATGATGCCTTTAAAATTCAGATTCTTACGAACCTTTTATTTCTTTTGTGCAGATATTGATGTCGCCGTGCTTTGCAAATCCATCCAGACCGTAGTATAAACACCACACAAAAGAATGGGCGACCAAGAGGTCTCACAAGCAGCCGTCCCTAATGAGTCCGCAGCTGCACCTCCCGCCCCAACAGAGGCTGCCGCGGATGGCGGGGGAGGAGGAGGCATTGGAGGTGCCTTTGCAAATGCGGGCACCAACATGAAGAACAAGATAAGCGACGTGATGGATAAAATTCCTCGTAAGTGAACACAATGTTTCTCCTATTCTGGTGCCCAACCGTGTTGGCATGAAATATACCTGTACAGTTACATTGGTAAAATCTCAACATTGAGGCTGTTCACACCGGCAAAGATAGCGCGTGCTAGACCGCGCTATCTCTGCGGTGTGGGAGGTACAACGTCGTTTCGGTCCGCCCAACAGCGAGCCACGGCGAGCCAAAACGGCGTGCCACTGGAGCACGCGCTAGCGCGCGCTAGAAAAAAGGGGGTGCTACGATAGACCGCGCTATCTCATTGCGGTGTGAACAGCCTCTTTCTTGTTTTATGAAAGTTCAAAAAGCTTCAAGACAAAGATGAGTTCTAGTCATGCAAGAACAATGTGATAGAAACAGGTTGGAAGCAATTGGGGAAAGGCTGATTACGTATACATGTACATGTACATGTTATGTATACATAAGAATTGATGTGTCTTGTGAAGTTTTGGAATGATCGAAATGAAAAGAAATTGACTAGAAATTGTAATAGTCGTTATTTTCCCACACAAAGACATTTTAAAGCCCCCCTTTTTTTAGGTAAGTTCTAAATTAGTATTATCTTTCAAATGCCGTTTGAATTTAAACCTTTCATTTTTTGGCCTGCAAAAGGGACATACCGGTTGTACCTTTAGGTGAATAAAAAGGTTGCGGCAATTTTTGCATCATCATACATGTACAATGTATCTGAACGAATCTTAACATGTTATTGTAAAAACAAATTACAAATCTATCTATGCACCTTATTATTCAGGTTCGGCCTGTTCAGAGACATACATGTACATGTATATTGCAGATTAAGTGGTGATTTTTTTTTTTTAATCTTGTTTTGTCCCTCTCTAGTTCCAACATGGGCTTATTATTCAGGTTCGGCCCGTTCAGAGAAATTTATATTGCAAATTAAATAGTGATTTTTTTTTTTTTAAATCTTGTTTTGTCCCTCTCTAGTTCCAACATGGGCTGTGGTAGCCATTGCCATTGTGGCAGGCCTTATACTCCTCTGTTGCTGCTTCTGTATCTGTAAAAAATGTTGCTGTAAGAAGAGGAAAAAGAAGGAAGGCAAAAAAGGTCTAAAGGGGGCCGTCGACCTGAAGAGCGTCCAGATGCTGGGCAACAGTTATAAAGAGAAGGTAAGTTTGCTTTTTTTCTGATTTCTATTGGCATCATGTCGCTCGCTTTATTTAGGGATATTTCATTTTTTGCATAGCCCAAATCATGTTGCCATGCATGTACATGTATATACATACCATTAGAAATGTAGTCAATAAATAGTCAGTATTTTGTGTTAATTTTGATCGCTCGACTAGCAGCATACTTGTCCAAAAATGCTGCATTTACTGTTTATCCGAGAGATAAAATACCCCTACCCTATTTTTAATGTTATTTTTGTCTTTTACATAAAATAAGGTTGGCTTTGAAGCTGCGCATATCATGCGTATATTAAACTGTAATGAACACGCGTGATAAAATGAAAGGTGAAGTCTGAGGTAAAAAGTGGTCTCAGAATACCAGTTATTTAAAAAAAAAGATGAAATAAGATATTTCAGCGAAAAAAATATTACTCAGAATCCCAACCCCTGGATTTTAAAGTACAATATATTTAATTCATGTTAATATTTTGACATTTTCTTCAAAGACAAAATTCCTGTTCAAAGCAAATTCAATTCAACAGCAATATTTGATTATTGGCCCTGATTTATTTCATTAATTTTTACTGGTTAGGACAATTATGCAATCAAAGAGTGAATATTTGTTTCCCTTCTGTACTCTCAGTATTATTTACTTGTCAAACCATATCATAATGATATTTTTGTCAACTTAATCTATTAAAACATTGCATTATTTCTTTGGTTTCCAGTTCATTCACAAAGATGCAATAAATAATATTCTGTTCTAACTCTATCTCAAAAGAATTGCTGTATTTTCAACCTTGACAATTTAAATTGATTTCAAATTTTGTTTTCTTTTTTGTTGTTGCCATTTTTATGTGATAACAGACAATGTAATTTGGTTTGCTGTATTTTATACAAAATTTTACTTCGATTTTTTTTTATCAAATACGTGTATTTTTTCATTTGTAACACATGGTACTAACGGTAACATACGGTACATACATGTACATGTTTTTATAAAACCATATTTTCTGTATTGTAACTGTACATGTACTTGTCTGTTTGGATTATTTTCTTTCTGAATTTGTTCTTTGAAAGTTAATGGCAGTTTATAGTGAGCTTTCATTTATTTTGTAGACTTCATGTAGTGGTGTGTTACTTTGGTATACTTGTAATTAATGTTATTCCATGTTTCACTAATACTGTACATACACATGTACATGTGTTGTTTGTGTTTCAAAGTGTTGTTTGTGTTTCATTTCAAGTTCTGATAATAATATGCAAGTAACAAATATTGGATACCCCATACGCCAAATTTAAAAATATTTTACTCATATTCTCCTTGTAAAAGCATGTGTTGAGATTTTTCTAGCATAGAAATTTTTAGTGTTGATACATGTTCCGGTACATGTACTTCTTTTTTAATTATTATTTACTACTGTATACTCTAGATTTTTTTTGTAAAAGGTGTCAGTTGTGGATGTTTGATACATATTGATTTTGTATCCCTTCCAATTTTAAGAGTATACTACACTGTACATGTACTTGTGCAAATTGTAGTAGCTAAACTCCTAGGCCAAAGTCTTGACAGACTTATTGTACATACATGCTACTACCCTAATAGACAAAAGCAACAAACAAACAAACAAGCAAAAACAAAATGAAAAATACATTGACAAACGCTCACCAAACTATTCACAGTTTGAAGCTGTTGTCCTGTTTTTCTTTTCTTCTCTATTTCTCTATGTGAGCTATTAGCGATTGAGATTTGGCAGCTACAGTATGTGTAACTTCTCCTTTTTTAACATCTTCCCAAGATGTTTGTGGTAAATTTTTTCTAATTTTCTTTTCTTGTTTTAAATTACATTTCTCCCAGTAAATTTCATATATTTCAAATAGCACCTACATGTAAGGCCATTCCATGGTAGCTGCAACCATGAAAATCTCAGAATATGCAGTTCTGATACAATTTCCAAATGGGAATAGCAAATCGTTTCGATTGTAGTCAAGAAACATTATTTTAAAGCTTAAGTAATATCAGTCTTGAGATGGAGCTACACAACATAACGATTTTATTACTTACAATTTCATCACTTTAGACTCAATTTCAACGATTGTAAAATCGCATATATACTGTATGCTTTCAATATGTTCATTTAAACCAAATTCATGACCCCATACCAAATATTAATTTTTGACATACTGTACATATATACTGTACAATATTTGTTTAACTTGGTAAGGGTATGAAATCAGTTAAACTGTATACTCTCATTGGGCATCGACAAGCTACATGTATAACTGTGACACGTGATCCACCCTATTCACTGTAGTATGCATGCATTGTACATAATTATGTAGCCTGATACTGCATCTTGCTGTGAGTGTTAATATGCTTTCATACTATGACGTATGTAGGAGTGTGCATGCAGCGTGTAATTACCTGCTACAGTGATGTCCGTCCGAGTTTCCGACTACTATCCATCTGCTATCACACACATACATGTATTGAGATTGACAAATGTTGCTTTTATATATTTGACGATATGTGTGCATCCATACAGGACACACATATTGAGATTGACAAATGTTGCTAATAAAATTTGTGGACAGTATGTTTGAGTTGTAAGCATCCATACAGGACACTGGACACACATACATGTATTGAGATTGACAAATGTTGCTAATATATTTGACAATATGTGTGCATCCATACAAGACACACATATTGAGATTGAAAAATGTTGCTAATATATATTGTAGCATCCATACAGGACACACATAGTGAGATTGACGAATAGTGCTAATATATTGGACAGTATGTGTGCATTGTAGCATACGCATCCATACATGGCCATGATGCTCATGTACATTTGTACATGTACATGTACAGTGTATTAAATGCATACATCTCGATCGGAGATATCAAGAAGAAAAAAAACACACATGTGAAACAAGTGATTTGCTCACTGATATCTTCTACTTTCTTAGCATGACAGAAGATGCAAGTTCCATGTTTTTAAAGCATTTCATAACTTTTTTCTCATAATTATATATACACATGTACATGTACATGTACATATTTTTGTTGGTGGGGGGGGGGGGGGGGGGGGTTGATAGTGAACAAACTACAAGTTGTGTTTTTATTCCAGAAGAAAACAAAATAATTCTGCTGAGTCAACTCTTCAATTGAAACAAGATACAATCTCTATAAAAGCACAGTTTAAATTGAACAGAAAGACACAGAAGCAATGAAAATTATGCTCAGAGACCTCATGATTTTTTTTAAAGAGAGCTTTGGTAAAACAAAAAAGAAGGGGAAAGTATTAATAGATGCATACTTTTGACAAGTTTAAGTGATTGTTTTTTTACAAAATGAAAACAAAATTCCTGCAGGGACATTTTACTTGTGTAATGACAAAAATACCTAAAAGCGCTCAGAAATGCAAACAACAAGGAGTCTTTTGTACCTGATAGTAGCATACTCAATGCAAATACACAAAATGTAGGTTATTGCATGCACAGTTCACTGGAGTGTATCTAAATAGTACACAAAGCTTTTACTTCATTCCAGGTAACTTGAAAGACTTAGTTGATTAAATGCATGGGACCGTAAATATTTCCATTGATGAGTGTTCTTTTATCCTTATACCATTAAATTGAGGATGAAGAATGCTTGTTGATTTATGCATACCCATATCAGACAACATGTATTAAGCACATCTTAGTGACAACTGCTCGATTGATTTCAGTTTCAGCACCCAGACATGTTACATTAGGCCTGAACATCAGATCAAGATTGCCAAATATCCCGCTCTTTCAATTATCCAGTTAATTTGCATCTTTATCAGCCTGAAGTTGCAATTAACGGGATATTTGGTCGAGACAATCATCCCAAGATATCTTGGGCTAGTTTGCAATATATCCAGCTATTTGGCAAAATATCCCGCTATTTGTCCGGTGCGTCTTGACCAGCCCAAAGACTCGCACTAGCCCAAACGCTGGGCGAAATATCTCGAGCTAATTTCCTGAGCTTGAGTTTCAAGTTTCGAGGTCGAGTCTCGAGCTGATGAAGACGTGATTTGTAACTTCTGGATTATTTTCCAAATCAGAAATAGCAGCCTATTTGTCAATCTCAAGCTGATGAAGACATACCTACAAAGCTTTCTGAAACACCTAAACTACAGCTGATGAACTTTCATGTTGACTTCTCAAGGATTATTGACAAGTGGGCAGTTTTCTCTCATTTGTGTAAATAAAACACAGAAAAAACAACAACAAAATTGTTTAATATACAGGTCTATTACAGAACATTTTACATGACACTAATCTTGCCTTATTATAATACTAATCTCCATGCCTTCATTTAACACTTTAGAAACGCTTTTCAGGAAGTTTGAGGCGTATTTTGTACAGTTCATCTGCTTTTGATATAAATATATTACATTAGAAATATACATGAAATAGTCTTGACAAAAAAATCCTTTAGAAAAATACATTGTAAATATAATAAACAAGTGATACCACATGTACATGTATTGGTAAAGAATACCAGAACAGATTATAACTATTTAGGAGGAAAGAATACATATACAAAATTCCAGCGAAGCCTTCGGACTATTCGCTTGGTTGATCTTCTCCAGTATCTTTACAGCTTTAATTATATGTATATCAGTTCCAAATCTTGTCTTATTTTGAAAAAGGAGGTTATTGGAAGAGCAATTCATTTCGGGAGGATAGTTCTTCTATGATTTTTATCCAGACTGACATAAAAAGAATTCAAAGAAAGCTCACTACAGTGTAATTATAGGTATTATATTATAAGTAAAGAGTAAATGGGTGTCCTCTGCTAAATAAGGGCAATTCCTCGGACGATTCGCTTCGTTGATGTCCTCCAGTATCTGCAAAGTCATCCAGCTGTGTGCCATACTGTCTGAAATTATATTTCAGACAGTAATTACATGTACACTCACACTGTATAAATAATAATAAATAAAGTATAAATTGCTCTGCCATCT